AACAGCTACGTTTTCCATTTGCTACGAAGCTGGTACTTCCTTTCTTTCTCATCATTACTATTACTCATACATGTTTGCATACTATACTTGACCTTTACTGAATCACCACCACCACCGAATACAAGAGTCTACCATACACTTAACACACAAAGACAAACAGTGAATCGCGCGAAAGTATGACGTATCCCCACCATTACGCACACGATCACAATTTTGCGTGTAACATGTTTACACATTGAAGCACACATACGCACAGTTGTGAATATACAAGTTACATAGATAGTGTAATATATAATGCACCTATGTGTGAGTAAAGAAAGGTGTTTTACTAGGTGAAATGGGAACGTTAGTTGTGTGTTTGGACGAATTAAACGGAACAAGCAATTAAATTCACGATTAACGTCATTTTACTGGTTTTATTTTATAATATTTAATTATTTTCACCAGTCAACCTATACTACTTAAATATATCTTATAACTTATTTACAAGTAAAATTATTCAAATTTTAATATACCTAAATAAATTTAATATTTAACATAAGCAAATGCAGAGTTTAAAACCTGATTTTTATTACCATGAAATTGTAATTCTGAGTAATAATTAGGAGTTAACAAAGACTACATAATAACTTTAGGTTTTTAAATTATTGAAATAAATATAATATAATCTCCCATTCGTTATTCTATCATGAAGCAGTTGTATTTGCATGGCTGTGTTTCGGTTTGGAGGGTGGGATATGGCAGTAAATTTACGCGGTACAGAGGCATGTTATGCCTATACTATATGTCTATAGGCGACGGTTAACATTTTCCATCAGATGGGCCATCAGCTTGTTTACCATTTTAAGTTGCATAAAAAAATCTCAATCCCGCGTGTTCTATTACGCTTACGGGATATCAGTGAGAAATGGTAAGTGAGAATGTATGACGTAAATTAGGTCAGTCGGTCCACAGTGACAAATTTACCAGATATTAACCACGATGGTTTATAGAGATTTGTGGAAGACAAGCTGTCAGGGTATACTGCTGGTAATAATTTCCTCAGGCATAGATAAGTATTGCTTTATCTACACTGCTATAGAAAAAAAAAACTATTTTTTTTCTTTCGGCAATTTAAGGAATTCATAATGAATTTCTCAAATTGAAATTCTAATCGTTTTTATTTTTCTTTTTACGTCAGATATTAAAAGGTTATAAATACCACAGAGTACTATGTAACATCTAATTCCCAGTAGCAACAATCCAAACATCCTCCAGATACGAAAATATTTCATAACCTCATAAACGAACACCTTTCCCTGCTAAGTTTTAAATTCACTTATATTATTATTCTACTGTGTGAATAGTAAAATAATACTACTGCTTCCATCTCATTCGGCCCTTTCACTGGGAGAAAACCTTGAAATGTAGGTCTAGTCGTGCTATCCCTTTGTACAGTAAGATTCATAGTAACTAGAAACTTCTTTTAAATGATGTTCAGTACTGCATAATTCTTTTTCTACTAATTACCATTTTATATTAGAGCGCTCATAATGTTCATACCGTTACAATTCTTAATTTAAAAGTTAATTTTTTTTTTAAGTTAATGTAAACGTTGCCAACATTTGCATATTAAACTGTTAAATTTCGAAAACAATTCAACGAATTTAATTTATTTATAAAAATTAACAATTCAACTATTCTAAATTACCTAGGTGTTTCTGAAACTGCAGTCGCAACCATAGTTTGATACACGAAATTGGCTTCTTATAAATAAAATTTGACTTACGTATAATAAATAAACACTAAATATTTCTTTTGAGGTTTCAAAACAATTTGACATTATCTTTATTAACAAATACAACAATACACTGTTATGTATTTCGCCCTAGCTTTCACATTCTTATTATATTATACCTTTATATTACAACTTTCTATACTCATTGTATTACAGTAAAAATATTATATACCTATTAAATAATTTTAAAACGACCACGAAATGTGCAATTAGCACCAATCCATAAATACCGCACCCGCACCGGTACGGTATATTATATTATACGGACAAAAACGTAAACAAAACTTACATAAACCAGCGTGACCCAGAACTTGAGAGAAAGGTCTAGTACAACTCCCCCCCCCCCCCCCACTTCTTCCCACGACATCACCAGTCGCTGCAGCCGACAGACCTACAGCCATTTTGCATCTCAATTTTATGACACTGCGCAAGCTCTAATATATATTAGGAGATGTTATTACCCCCCAATTATTGTTATTTATTTTACCTATCTTTCATGCTAGACTACAGGTAAGTTTTTTAAAAGATGATAATGGAATGGTAATTGCATCTACGCTATTGCTATAATACGCTGGCCCAATATCAGTGATGGATGGGAGCATGAAGTCGGATCAATTGCCTTTTTCTAGACCAGAGGGAGACTTTGTACAAAAGTCGATTGCTTGGGTACCTCTGTCCCATTCGTGTTTTAACTGTGAAGCAGCTGTGTTTGCATGGCTGTGTTTCGGTTTGAAAGGTGGGATATGGCGTGAATTTACAGAGGAATAATATCTGAGTCCTCAGGAATGACAAAGCATGGGGGGTATCATGGGCGAAACAGTATACTCTGTTATGTCCATGGTACTGCTCATGCCTATAGGCGACGGTTACCACTTTCCATCAGGTGGGCCGTCAGCTTGTTTGCCATTCTAAGTTGTATAAAAAAAAACATAACCGTCTTAGTAATAAACGAAAATAACGTCAAACATCACACTAGGCTGTAAAGACTTAGTTCTTTTTGCCTTTCCTTATTATAAAAGACAAAAAAAAAATAAGAACAAAAATAACAATGTCTAGGCATACTTTATTGATTTTATGTCACAGTAAATTCAACTCTATGTTCCCGTGAAAGCGGGCCCTAATGCAGCTTTCGCGTCACGGCCTGATTGCCCCACGAGCCGTTCGCGTGCACTAACTACCTACCTACTGGCGGCACAAAGGCCCTTGTCTAATTATTATTAATAATTGTACACAATTAAACTAAAGATGTCACAATTTAACTCACAAACTCAACAAGTGAAAAAGTTGATAACAATAATACATTTTTTTTTTCTGAATTACTCTACAATGCAAATTAATGGCCAATTGATAGAAAATGTTATTGCCTATAAACAAGTACGACTCACTGGACATTAAAGAACCTACAGTGATGTATGCATGTTGACATTTCTAAGGATTATTGTATCGTATTGTAAAAACCTTTATAGTACATAATTGATATTGGACACATTAAAAATTTAATATACAGTGGCAGACTTATCCCATAAAGGAATCTCTTACAGTCAACATTTGAGAAATTGAAAGGAAACTATAGAATGTTCAAGGGTAAAAACCATACAGCTAAAGATAAATTTAATAATATCTAGTTAAAATTGAACATACGAGTATAATACAATAAAAAATAACTGTAGACACCTACACGTGTAAATAATAATAATACATAAATCGATAATAATAAACATACACACATAAATACATATATATTTACAATTGGCTTAATAAAAAAGGAGTTTAAGAATAAAATTTTATGCCTATGATTTTATGCCTTTGTAGGTACACTGTAATATTACTATTGTACCCCACTCTTGGAACTGAAACAGCCAGGTAAGTTTCATTGTAGAAATATGAGTTAAACAAAGGTACATATACTGATTACTTCTGTACAAAGTCTCCCTTTGGTTATTTATTTCAAGTTAAGTATTTATCGTAAATATAGGACGATCTGGAATCAAGTCATGAGTGAATTAATTGTTTCACATTCTGTAACTAGAATACTTGCATTATTTTCCAAAATATAATTTGCTGTTACGAAATTAAATTTACTAAACATTTACAATACCGGATTGGGTATCGAATCTAGGTATTATCTGATAGAAAGAATGCAATTTATCCGAAGTATCATTCAGTAATGACGTTCGTAAACGACAGAATGTAGTATTCGAGCTTCTCACTCATCCTCTGACCGCCATAAATTTAACATTAGTCCCTTACGACGAGAATCGTGGCACGAGAGTTAGGATGCTATGCGATGTTAAGATGAATTATCATTCCATTCATAATTAAAAAAATTAGAGCAATTTCCCTTAAGAAATAAAATTAAAGCTTGTTTCAAAAATTTTTCCCCGAGTCAGTAGTACTTATTTATTGGTTAAGACGAGTGCACCTTCATTCACAAGAACTCCTGCGCTGCTCCGTAGCTGTCTTCGAATTACAAATGTCAATTAAAATTACAAGTTCTAATGCACATGGAAGTTTGAGTTTATTTTTTATCTTTTCGCATTATGCGAAGTAACCAACTAACATAAATAAAAATTACACATATCCTAAATAAAAGATATTATAGAAAAACTTACATGAAGGACTTAATAAGAATACACACTAATTTATAGAAATTTTGTGCATGTTGGTATATTTGTTCCGGCACCTCGTAGAAAGTACTTCACCAAATTGAATAATTGGATGCAGGTTTTACAGTTGTGTATCTGAAGATCTAATTTAAAATATGGGTCTGTTTATCTTGATACGCAGTCTAGAAATGGTCTATTTCCTTGATTTTCTTCTTCTGAAATGGCCGCCTATTAAGAAGCATTACACGCTAATTAGTATATAAAATACTTGTTAATGAGACAAAGACAGATTTATAATATTTATTTATGTAGTTATTCGCGAAAAAGCTATGTGTTTTCACTTTTCAGACACATTGTCATGCACGACAACGCCATCTGAACAATCAATCGTGAACCTTAATCCATTACTGCTAAATTCAAACATTGTCAAGCATATGAATCATGTATTACGGTAAATAACTTTTGTAATATTAATCCATTTTTTATAAACTATTAAATTTATTTTATTTTATGCTCAAAGTATATTAATGTATATTCAGTTAGACAATTTTTGATCCCTGTTTTATTAAATATTATAGCAACACTGAAATCATTATTTTTAGTTCTCACCACACAAACCAGGTCAAGGAAGTGCAGGAAAACTGCTCGCTAAAAATATTTTTTTGTTATTTTTAACAAATGCAATTATGTGAAATAGTCCTTTGTTTTTCTTCCAAAATGGTAGTGAGGTAAAAGAACGAGTTGTTCGTTATGAACGAAGAAAGTGCATGCGTAATTGAGAGGACAGAAGAAAACTAGGTGGTGTGACAGAAAAGGAAATACCGCATAGGGTTTTCCATTCAGAAATTATCAAAATTTTCCTTTAAACAATTTTTTTGCTCGTCATTATGAGATTATATGATTTATTAACGGTACAGGACAGCTTAGTTTTTGCATTTCATAATATAAATAATTGTCATAACATTTGACCCAGTTACGGTGCCGTGTGCGTTGACCTATGGATGTGAATGCGGACTAAGCACGATGTTATTTTTAGGATACAGCTTTGCAGATAATTAAATATTTATAGATGCTATTCGTGCAAAAAAAATTACGAAATAAATTACAAAAGCTCCTGTAAATGTTTTACTTCATAAGGGTAAGTTCTTTGTTCTAAATTCAAACAATTTTTTTTTTAAGTCTGAGAAACGTAAAGAAGTTTTTGGTGATTTCTTTAATCAACGCTGAATTATTTATTTAGATAGGTGCAATAAAAGTAATAATTTTCAGGTGGAACAACATGGTTGATTATTCCAAACAAGGCAAAGGAAACTATAGAACAAATAAAAGAAAACCTAGCAAAACATTAACTAAACATGATTCCATTTAGAAGAATATTTCCTTTGAAGGGATCAATTTATTCATAGTATTTAATTTATAACAGTATTTCAAATATTTATCCCCCATAGTGAGACAGAGAACACTGAGTAACAGCCCACACTGCCATTTGTGATTCCAAACCCAATCTGACAACTTAAAAATTGTAAAAAAAAATATTGAAAAAGCATATCATCTTTTGTAGCAGCACAATTAAAAAAAATTGTGTTACTCTATGCAAAAAAGGTTATTGCTCCTTAAATCAAAAATGGATTTATGTTGATTTAACAACTGAATTACATACAATGGTTACTTAACAAAAGAAAATCAGAAAACAAAGACAATATGATATTTACTGACTGAATCACACAGTAGTAAGGGTATAATTTGTACCTGGGCCTTATGCCCTAAGGCCGGGGTAACACTCGGCAGTGATGAAGAAGCAAAATGTTCGCACTCTATCGTTAATTGTGTGCACATTTACATATTTATTAGTTGGAGCAGCTGTGTTTGATGCATTAGAGTCTACTACAGAGAGACACAGATTTGAAGTATTGCAAGGTGAGTAATTATTACAAATATAAATAAATAATACTTATTTTCTTTTTAGAAAAAAGGTTATAACTTTTCTTTTTTCTTATTGGCCAGTTTCAAATAAATGATTATTGTATATTATTTATAGCTTTTTATTTATTATTTTGTACTTATGTTGAAATAGACAACTAGGTGACATATAAAAATAAAACATAAACCAAATTAGACCTTCATAAACAAAACTGCAAAATATATATAAATGCAATTTGGTGCTGTAGTTTTTACATGATGCTGGAAGAAATATACAGACAGATAGATATACAAAGTTTCTAATAATTATTATTATGGTTTCATTGAGGAGAAGGAGGATACTTAATAACTCCTATAATTTTTTCTTAAATATCTCTTATGCATAGTGTATAGCTACAATTTTATTATGTTAGTAAATTTACTTTTTATATGCCATTATGTATACTAATACCTTAAAAAAAACAATACTGCAAATATGTATGAATGTAGAGAAAGCAAAGAATATCACAGAATTTAAACAGAAAATGCATTCTATAATTATTGTCCAAAGTATGTCCAGTGACTCATATAAAAAAGTAACAAACATTTAAACAAATGTTTTCTCTTCTATTCTAATTTGACTTGAAACCATATTTGTCAAATGTGAAAAAATTTAACATATTTTACAAAATATTATAAAAAAAATTAAGACAACATCTATTTTCAGAAATAGCAATTAATGAATTATAGTAGTCACAGTATATTCTGTGATCTGTATCTATAAACATCAATGATCACTTTACATCAGGTGGGATCTCAGTTTGTTTGCTATACTAAGTTGTAAAAAAAATACCTTAACTGTTACTGAATAAGGTGTTTTATGTATTCCATATCACTGGCTATTTGATTAGGACTATTTTGTTTAATAGTTTTGGCAGTCTCACACATACTAGTGGTAGTGGAATTAAAGAAAATAATTCTAATTAAATATCCTTAACAATCTTCTGACTGTCCACAGCTATAGAAGGTATAATAATAAGGAAATACAACATCACGGAGGAGGACTTCCGTGTGATGGAGACAGTGGTGCTCAAGTCGGAGCCTCACAAGGCTGGCCAGCAATGGAAGTTCACTGGAGCCTTCTACTATGCCACCACAGTACTCACCACCATTGGTGAGGCATTTTAAATTAGCAGTTCGGATTTCAAAAGAACTTTATTTAGACATTTGTGTGTTACTGTTTCACACATACAAACAGTCTTACTTTTTTGTGTACCTAGTTTCCTCTTCTGTATATATTTTTTGTCTCTCTTTTTCTGTGTGTCCATTTATATTTGTTGTTATTTATGTGTTATCATTTCTCTCGTTTCCTTATCACTGAGGGTTAAGATCACATGAAGATGTCACTCTCATCATGATTGCCCTTCAAGTTGTGCAGTTTTCAGCCATATATACTTATGTGTAAATATGAATTCTTTTACTGCATTGGTCCATCATGTTAGTGCTCTTCTTTGACCCTTTTTCCTTCCATATAACTGACAACAATTAACTTCTTTAAATTAATCAGCTCACATCTGATCATATGTCCGAAATACTGAAGAAGTCTTTGCATGCAGATTTGTGTGCTATAAGTTATTTATATCTACAATTTAAATAGATATTTAAATTGAAGTATTTTTTATGTTTTTATGTTACTTTGTGTGTAAACATATATTTTTAATAACTATTCAGTTCTGTGCATGTCATAAGAGGTGACTAAAAGAACTTTATTATGGAGACCCTCTTAAAACATCACTAAAGCCTAGCTATGGTTACCAATCCACTTGCCAAACGTGGCAACTATTGGCAAAATTCCCTTTATGAGGGAGGTCTATCACTGGTCAGAAGTGACCAGTTAATGGCTACTATGAAGAACTATTCAAAAACACTGGTGTTGCCTAGTTTTTAACTCACAGTTAACCCTTGTAGTTTATAAGCCATATTAGTACACCTTTGAACTACAATGATCTCTAGTTCTATACAACTTGTGTGATAGTTTTAATTAGAAGGGAGACTTTGTACAAAAGTCGTTTGCTTGGGCACCTCTGTGCCATTCGTATTTCTACCGTGCTTTTACCACTTGTGTTTGCATGTCTGTGTTTCGGTTTAAAGGGTGAAATATTGCAGTGAATTTACAGGCTATAAAAGAATAACACCTGTGTCCTTAGGAATGGCAACGCGGTGGGGGAGGGGTATTATGGGCGAAACAGTATACTCTGTTATGCCCATGGTACTGCTCATAACTATAGGCGACAGTTACCACTTTCCATCAGGTGGGCCATCAGCTTGTTTGCCATTCTATGTTGTTATGCAACATAATTTTTTTTTTAATTAATTATATTCACATGTTATGAATATAAACCATAACCAACAGGTTATGGGCACTCGACACCGGCTACGATCGGCGGCAAGCTATTTACAATGTTCTATGCCATCGTGGGGATACCACTGGGCCTCATCATGTTCCAGAGTATTGGTGAACGTGTCAATAGGCTTAGCAGGTACGTTTAATAAATTTGTAATATCCATTTACCAAGCAATGGACTTGGCTTATCAATTATAATTATCTATTTTATTATTGTATGTATTATATATATATATTACTTGCCACTATGGCTACAGTAATTTTTTTTTTATAATATGTTTTGTCAGAGTTGGATCGTATATTTTTTCTTTGAATAATTTAAATAATAATGAAAACAATTTTTTTTATGTCATTGCTACATCCCTAGTTTAAATTGTAGTTGTGATTGATAGTGATAGAGTAGTTATTTACGCTACTGATAAAAAAAAATACACTTAAACTTGCCCATTAGTCGTTATAGTACTTAAATAATGTTTAGTCTAGTGTCTGATTTTTCACAGTTTTCAGTAAAATACTTGTATCTGAGAAATCTAAAAATTTACTTGGATTTTAAAAATTTTTTTTTTCATATTGCCCTATATCACTCACTTTCTATTGGACGCTGAATTTAAGGACATTCTGTATTTACATAAATACAACCGAATTTGAACGGTGTGGACTGCCGTTCGGTGAGCGTGGACTGTAGGGGCGTTGGTTCAGGCTGGAGTGAAACACAGGGATTACTATTCTGAAGCCTCCGGTACCGTCTGAAGAGAGTATTTTTTCTTCTTGTCCTATTTCTTCTCGAGTGTAGTGCGTCGCTGCCCGGAAGCGAATGCCGCTCGACGAGAGGCGGCCTATCTTTATACCCGCCCGCTCGCATGATAACGTTTCCAACTCGCGTTAGCGAATCTGCGCGAGCGGGACGGGGCGAGAAAGAACGAGACGCGTGTCTCTTCAGATCGGTACTCTATAGCGTCTATTTATTGCAATTTACAATTTCTTAATTCTATTTATTGTTACAATTTCTATTTCTATTCGTAGGTAATAATGACAACACGCAAAGGAATACTTTATTTAACTTACACTATCTTAAATCTATGTAAATCTATATAAAATAACAGAATACAAAACGATTAACTAGGACTTAACAACTATAAATTACGATTACATATATACAAATAATGTCGCGAACATAATCTCCCGCCGCAGCTCTCGTAGCTGGAGTTAACTCGTGTTCGCGTCGCTCGATGTCGATGTGGGCAGTATGATCAGCTTCTTAGTGGGTCGCCGTAGGATGCCCTTGTTCGTCCGCACGTCGACTGCTCGGATCTCGCCGTCTGGTCCAGGGTAGGTCGCCACCACCACGCCTCGCGGCCACGTGTTGCGAGGCAAGGTCCCATCAGCTATCAGGACCAGGTCGTCCATTTTGATGGCTCCGTGTGTAGCTCGGGGCTCCCGCCGGTGTTGCAACTCGGGTAGGTACTCCTTCACCCACCGGTTCCAGAAGCAGTCAGCTAGCCTCTGGCTGGCACGCCACTCCTTGTGTCCCGCCGCGTCGCTCTCTGTGAAGCTGCCTGGCAGTGGGACGCGCGATGGACCGCCCAATATGAAGTGATTGGGGGTTAGGGCGCTGTCGTCGTCTGCCGATGTTGACACGTGGGTTAGCGGTCGACTATTGAGGGTGTGCTCGACCTCGACCAGCAGAGTGTGGAGGACCTCTTCCTTGGGGGCCCGCTCGTTCAACGTAGCGGCTAGTGCGGTCTTCACACTACGCACCAGCCGTTCCCACGCACCTCCCATGAAGGGTGCGCTCGGGGGAATGCAGCGCCACCGGATGAAATGGACTGATGACTCTTCTTGGATGGCTTCCTCGGCTGCTTTCTTCAGTTCGACGTCAGCACCTTTGAGGTTGGTGCCTTGGTCGGACCATAGCTCAGTGGGACACCCTCTGCGGCTTATGAAGCGCCGCAGGGCCATTATGGCGGAGTCCGTGCTGAGGCTGCCGGCGATTTCTAGGTGGACTGCGCGCGTCGTTAGGCAGGTGAAGAGCACTCCGTATCGTTTCTGGTGAGTGCGGCCCACTGTCACGGTCATAGGCCCGAAGTAGTCTAGGCCGGTGAACGTGAACGGTCGTTGATGATGCGCCAGCCTGCTCTGTGGATGGTTGCCCGTTGACGGCTGCGCCGGTCTTGCTCTTCGTAGGTGGCACAGCTGACACCTCTTCAGTTCACTGCGGACGGCGTGTCGTAGGCGCAACACCCACAAGTGTTGTCGCACCTCGTTCGTGGTGATCTCGAAGCCGCCGTGGTGAAGTTTCCGATGCACCCATGCGATGTATAGGCGCACCCAGGTGTGGTTTCCGTCGACGATGGGGGCTCTCGTTGCTCGGCTGACAAATCGGCGGCGGCTGCTATTCTCGATCGAAGTCGCAGAATGTCGTCGTTGTCTATGACGACTGACAGCTGTATGAGTCGACTGGATGACGGCAGCTGTTTCCCATGTTTCAATGCTGCGATTTCGTCGCCGAACGCCTCTTGTTGTATCGCGCGAATCCATAGCCGTCGCGCGCGATCTAGGTAGTGTGTGTCTATGGGGATGAAACACACAGATGGACTATTGCTGTTCTTGATTTTCATCTTCGTCTTCTCTCTATCGACTTTCTTCGTGCGGGTCCAAGTGGGGTCGGCGCTCTCTTTCTTCTTGTTTCTCTTTCGGATAGCGGTACAGCGTTGACTGGTCGGTCGCAGGAGGTCGATGAACTGCAATACCCGTGCTGAACTGCGAACAAGTTTTAACCAATTAGAAAAACGTGACGGATCGGGTAATGCTATAGACAACTGCGTCGCGTTCTGTAGCTTGTGTACGCGTTCTTCTCCCGTTTCCGCTTGACTATCGTCGCTCGTACTATCTTCACGCGGCCACTGCTCTTCGGGGAGGTACAGGAAGTCCGGCCCACGGAACCATCTATGCTGCGAGCCGAAGTCCGTCGGTGGGTCGCGTGTGGCGTCGTCTGCTACGTTGTGCCGCGTCGGTATCCATCTCCACTCGTTCGTCTTCGTTTCTTCGACGATCTCGGCGACTCTATGCGCGACGAACGGCTTGTATGCGCGAGGACCGGTGCGTAGCCATGCGAGCACGGTGCGTGAGTCCGACCAGTATACTCGGCGAGCGGGCTTCAGGTCGTGTTCTTCGACTGCCGTGCGCGATAGGCGACACCCGAGGACGGCCGCTTGCAGCTCCAGTCGCGGTATCGTGGTCACCTTGCTGAGTGGGGCCACTCGTCCCTTTGCCGCGATCAGCGACACGTGGACCTCGCCGGTCGCGCTTACGGCCCGCCAGTACACGGCACAGGCGTACGCGTCCGAGCTGGCGTCGACGAATGTATGCAGCTCCGCTGTATCGGCCGTGGCTACCTCCGGGTAGCACCGCGGCACCTCCAGCGCGGACAGCCGTCGCACGTGGTCCATCCAGCTCCGCCAGGCGTCCGCTTCCCGTGGTTGCAGCTCGGTGTCCCAGTCGATACCGGTACGCTACGTCTCCTGCAATATCTTCTTCGCCTGTATGGTGATGGGAGTGGCGAGGCCCAATGGATCGAACAGTGACATGATCGCTCGTAGCGCTTCCCTCTTCGTCGGCGTCTGTTCCCCGCTGGCTATCTGTGGCGGAAGCTTGTGTCCGTTGAAGTTGAAGCCTAAGGTGTCTTCAGAAGGTCGCCATACCATCCCCAGTATCTTCTCCGCGTCGAGTTGTACCACGCTGTCCCCGCCGGTGTCGGAGAACGCGGCGCGCACTTGATGCGAGTTCGACGCCCACCGTTGGAGACAGTAGTTGGCTCGACCGTGGATCTGTGCGACCTGTCTTGAGACGCGTACGGCTTGCTCTTCCGTGTCGAAGCTGGCGAGGTAGTCGTCGACGTAGTGGTTCATGACCACCGCCGTTGCTGCCTCCGGGAACTCTTCCTTGTACTGTTCTGCGTTCTTGTTCTTGACGTAGATCGCTGTACACGGTGACGATGTTGCGCCGAATATGACACTCTTCATCCTATATTCCACAGGTGGACCCTCTCGTCGATCTCCTCGCCACAGGAACCGTTGCATGTCCCTATCTTCTTCCCGTATGGTGACCCGCATGAACATGTCCTTTATGTCCGCCGTGACTGCCACCCGTCGTTGCCGGAACCGCATGAGGACCCCCGGTAGCGATTGAAGTAAGTCGGGGCCCGGCAGCAGCATGTCGTTCAAACTGATGCCCTTCGTCTTGGCTGCTGCGTCGTGCACGATCCGCAGTTTCCCCGGTTTCTGCGGGTTGATGACGGCGAAGTGTGGCAGGTACCACACCCGTTGGGAACTCCGTGGCGGGGCGACTTCGGCATACCCGTTCTTGAGTAGCGTGTCCATTTGTTGTTCATACCTCTTCTTAATTTCTTCATTCTTGTCGAGTTTCCTTTCGACCAGTTGGAGACGTCGCATTGCCGATTCGTAGTTGTCCGGCGGCACAGGGTCGTCCTTCTTCCATAGTAACCCCGTCTCGTATCCTCCCGCCGGTAACGGACGAGTTTTCTCCTCTAAAATGCGTAGGGCGCGACGTTCCTCTTCATTGTAAGACCTCTTCGGTGCGATTCCCAGCGATTCGAGCGCGAAATGTTGCTTCATCATTTCTTCCATCGATTGTTCCTCTTCATGTGTCGTCACTATGTGGCTGATTCTGAGCACCTGCTGTCTTGTCCTGCCGCGACTCGTACCGTGCAGTACCCATCCCAGGTCGGTGAGTGATGCGACCGGCTGCGTGTCGGATCCTCTTCTAACTTCGTGGGCCAGCAGTAGGTGCCAGTTGTCTTGCCCCAGCAGTACCGTCGGTTTGCCCTCTTCATAGACCAACTCCTCTCTATGTCCCGCAGATGTGGACAGCCCTTGATGACGCTGCGTGGTACCGACTGCGGTGATAACTGCAGTCTGTCCATCGTCCGTGCCCCCACTGTGTATTCTTGTGAATTCCGCCCGCGGATCTTGAAGTGAACACGCGTCGATTGAGCTGCGTTGATCCGCGCCCCGGCCACACCTTCCATGTAGAATGGTGCGGGGGGACCCGTAGCACCGATTCGCTCCGCCACCGTCGTCTCGATGATGGTGCAAGTCGACCCGTCGTCCAGTAGCGCGTAGGTGTCGCACGTTCCCGTGGGACCGGTGACTCGTATCGGCAGGATCTTCAGGAACGCGATCTTGTCGTTTTCCCTTGCCGATGTGGTGACTGCGGCGGACTTGTCCTCGACGACGTGTGTTGTTACTTCATTCTCCGGCTGTTGTCGCGTGGTGTGCAGCAGAGGGTGATGAGTCTGCGTGCACTCATCTACTCCACATCTCTTGCTCTTGCAGGCGTGGCGAAATCTTCTCACTTTGAGGCAACGGAAACACAGTCTATGAGTCTTCGCTAGCTCCCATCTCGCCGATGTGTCCGCTTCCTTCATCGTCTTGCAGTCCGATGGAGCGTGTCCCTCTCGTCGACACATCGGGCACGGTGGTGTAGCGGGTTTCTCCTGCGTCGTGTATGTCTTCGCCGTCTTCCTAGGAGCGGACTCCCGCCGGTCTTCGGACGGTATCTCCTCGGCGGGGGCGAAGTTTCCACATCGTGCGGCGGTCCTTTGCAGGAACTGAGAGAGTGTTATGAGGTCCGGTTGTCCCTCCGGTTGGTCGTTGGCGAAATCGTAGTACTTGAAGCGTAGTACCGACGGCATCTTCTCTGTGACGTTTCTCACTATTTCTTCATTGTAGAGGTAGTGACTCTTGTTCAGCGCTCGTATCGTGGCGACGACGTTCTGCACCTTGCTTGCGAAGAGGCAGACGTCTCTTGCGTTGTCCGAGAGTCGTGGTAGCGCGCGGAGTTTGTTCAGTTCGGCTGTGACGAGTGCTCCAGGGCGGCCGAACCTCGCGGCTAACATCTTCATTACTTCTTCTGCGGTCGTAGACCCGACGAATAGGGAGCGTGCCGCGTCCTTTGCGGCCCCCTTCAAGCTTCTGCGCAGTCTTGCTAGGTTCTCTTGTTCTGTGAGTTGACTTGCGCTCTCTTCATAGGCCATCTTCCATGGTAACCACTCGCTCGACGATCCATTGAAGACTGGCAACTCGGTGACTCTTGACGCTGTGGAGGGCAGTATGTTGCGAGCGGCCATCTGCATGGCGATCGCAAACTCATTACAATCGATGCCCACTTTCAGCACCGGTTCTTCCTTCTTCATCGACTGCATCGCTGCTGCTATCGTAGGCATGGCGGCATGTGGGTCAACGTGGCGTGCGTGGTCCCGGTGAAGTGCGTCGCTGCTCGGCTGTGGCGGCGGCGCTCTCGAATCCTCTTCAACGGGTCTCGATGGGACGAACCCCTGACGCTTGCCGGTGACTTCTTCTATCTCTGGTACATGCGGCTCCATCGTGAGTGCCAGCGTGCTTCGATGAACCCAATCCGACGTTCGTTCTCTTCTGACGGTAGCGTCGTCGTCTTCTACTTCCTCGTCGTCCTCTGATTCGGCTTCCAGGGCGGCGACACGTGCGGCGGCCAATTCCACCTCCTTTCGAAGTAGCTCCTCCCGTGCCTTGGCCAGAGCCTTCTTCTTCTGCGAGGCCGTGGTGCGAACCGTGCGTGCCGTGCCGTGCTTCGGTTCCTTCTTCCTTGCTGTCTCCTCTGTCGTTCCTGTGGCTTCGGTAGTCTCCGTGGCTCCTGTGGTCGTCGTATCGCCGGACGTGTTCGTAGTCGATGTGGTGGCGGCGGTAGACGACGTGGCAGCGACAGATGACGTTCTGACAGCCGCAGACGACGTGGTGGCAGCAACGGACGGCGTGGCAGCGACGGACAGCGTTCCGGCGGCCGTAGTCGACGTGGTGGCGGCGGACGTTGTGGCTTCGGTGACGGCGATTTTTTGTTGCGACGACTTCATGTTTCTCGTAGTCGGCATTTCAGCGATCCGGCTTCAGAATGGTCTTCCTCCAGCGATCCGGCTTCTCGATGTACCAACGGTGTTCCTCCAGCAATCCGGCTTCTCGAAGGACCACGGTGTTCCTCCAGCAATCCGGCTTCTCGAAGGACCACGATGAACGGTGTGGACTGCCGTTCGGTGAGCGTGGACTGTAGGGGCGTTGGTTCAGGCTGGAGTGAAACACAGGGATTACTATTCTGAAGCCTCCGGTACCGTCTGAAGAGAGTATTTTTCTTCTTGTCCTATTTCTTCTCGAGTGTAGTGCGTCGCTGCCCGGAAGCGAATGCCGCTCGACGAGAGGCGGCCTATCTTTATACCCGCCCGCTCGCATGATAACGTTTCCAACTCGCGTTAGCGAATCTGCGCGAGCGGGACGGGGCGAGAAAGAACGAGACGCGTGTCTCTTCAGATCGGTACTCTATAGCGTCTATTTATTGCAATTTACAATTTCTTAATTCTATTTATTGTTACAATTTCTATTTCTATTCGTAGGTAATAATGACAACACGCAAAGGAATACTTTATTTAACTTACACTATCTTAAATCTATGTAAATCTATATAAAATAACAGAATACAAAACGATTAACTAGGACTTAACAACTATAAATTACGATTACATATATACAAATAATGTCGCGAACAGAATTGAAAATCACCTACCTAGAAAGTCGGTTAATTGACTTTAAACAGAAGGAGTTTCTTAATTTGATTTTTTTTGTGAGACACGAATCTTTTATATCGTCATTCTATATATTAGTTGGACACCAGTGAGAGATGATATATTATGAAGCAGGTCAGTTAGCCCATCGTGACGAATTCCACAAGAAATGTTTACAATGGTTTCCAGGGGGAACCATGTTTAAGTCGATCTGAGATCTGATGGCATATTGCTAGCAATGGGGCTGTTAAACTCCATTGCTAACAATCCCTTTCCCCTCGTGTCAATCTTATTAATATTACAAATACGAAAGTTTGTAATAATGGATTGATATATGAATGTTTGTTACACTTCAACGCAAAAACTACTAAACAGTTTAAATTGAAATTTGGTACACAGATAGGTTATATCCTAGCTTAGCACACAGGTGACTCCGCGGAATACAGCTTCATATTTGTTTTTTTATTACAGCGTCATAATAAAATCAATAAAGCGAGCAATGAACTGCAAACAAACGAACGCGACCGAAGTGGACCTGATATGCGTAGTGACTACTCTCTCGTCACTGACTATCGCCGGGGGCGCGGCCGCCTTCTCCACCTGCGAGGGATGGAGCTACTTCGATAGTGTTTACTACTGCTTCATCACGTTGACTACTATTGGTAAGTTTGTCAGAAATAATAAAGCAGTGATAATTCAGTCAGATAATGCTTGATCTATGGAGATGGAGATCATCATAGTAAATTCATAGCGAATTTCCCACGATAGAATAACAGCTCTAACTACATGTTATATCAGCCGTTAACTGTCCACTGCTGGACATAGTCTCTCCTATAAGAAGGAGTTTGCCAGTAGTTGCCACGCTTGGCAGGCGGCTTGGCAATTGAAATTTGGCTTTTGGTGATGTTTTAAAAGGGATGTTACCCATCTTAATCATAAGCTCCCTTAGTCGCCTCCTACGATACCCACGGGAAAGGAAGGGGTGGCCTATTCTATGCCAGAACTTACAATGCTCTGACTACATACTCATCCTAACTGATGCACCGTCATACTACACTATTACCAAAGATGGGTGTAACATTCCATCTTTATCAATAAAACTTGCAGGTTTTGGCGACATGGTGGCACTGCAAAAAGACAACGCGCTAAATAGGAAGCCTTCATACGTTATGTTCGCCCTTATCTTCATACTGTTCGGACTGGCGATAGTCGCCGCCTGTCTCAACTTGCTGGTGCTGAGGTTCGTTACCATGAACACGGAGGACGAGAAGAGAGATCAACAGCAAGCAGAACAGGTATGACTCTTTAAGTACAAATAAATGAAAACTGCCATTTACCAGGTCCATTTGTGATTAAAACTATCCCATCTCACACTCTTAAGCTGGAGTAAATAATACATCATCATCTTAGCCATTATCTGTACACCGCTGGACATAGACCTTCCCTACAGACTACCATAAAGAACAGTCCTAAGCCAGCAGCATCCACTGACTCCCTGCAGTTTTATTCAGCTTGCTTATTCTTCGGGCTATGTCGGTCACTTTGGTTCTTTGACACTGGCTGGGCACCAGTGACGGATGATTAATAAGGACAAAAGGACAAGTCAGTTTGCCCATCGTGATGAATACACCTGGAATTCAGCACCATGGTTTCCAAGGGGAACCACGACTGGACAGGGTATATTGTTAGCAATAGGGCTGTTAAAACCCAAAAGAATGGTGAAAAAAATCAAGGTGATATAATTCATGTTCAAAATTAAAAGAAAAATCGTTACAAAAAGAAATTAGACAGCTATGTTTTTTTTTCTGCGATGGATATTAAAAAGGTATCCAGACACGATCAAATTAAAGTGAAATTGTTCTTTTATATAATTTTTGGGCATTCAATGTTATGATGGAAATTTCCACCATTATGCAAAGAAGGGTTAACAGGTTAAGATAAACATTCGCATGGTGGTATTCTCAGGCGCAGCAAGTGGCAGTGCGTCTGGAAGGCGACGTGATCACGGCGGACGGCGCTGTTCTGCGGGGAGTGTCGCGAGGCACTCGCTTGCCGGCGGACCCCAGACATATGCACATCGCCACCGCCACTGGTACCTACACTTGGAATAAAGATATTTCCTACATTTATAATGTAAAAGAGAGAAAAAAAAGCAATAACATGTAAGTACTTTTGCCCGTATTTTAGGAGATACATCACTAGTTCCACTGTACGTCGATGAAGAGTATGCGCCGAGTGTATGTAGCTGCTCTTGCAACTGCTTCGGACCTAATAAGTAAGTTGATTTATTTATAGTCGCCCTCCAAGGCAAATAGTGAACCAATTTATCGGTAGATATGTTTTCGCTACTGTATTAGTGAAACAGTAGAAGAAATGACGTTTAGCATCTTTTTTTTATACGTTCGGGAACAAAACACATTTTCCAATAAAAGATTAGTTTGTTTCTTATTTAGAAGGTTTAAACTGTATATCTATTAATTGTTCTTTTAAATCCGAAGCGAAGGATCAATAATAATAAGAAATCTTGAGGTTATTGATGGAAACCAATCTCTTTAACATTAATTATTTATTAATTTAATACACGGTCACAATAATCAAAACAATAAAGCGGAAGACCACAATGTATTATTATTATTATTGTTCCCATTTTTAAAATAGTCACCATTTAATTTTTCAAAATACTTCAAAATTTTTTTAATAAGCTTGGATTTTAGTTGTATGCAGTTCTTAAATACAATATTCCTAGATTCGCAATGTAGCAGTAGTTTTATTTATATTCACAAGAACAAATGCATACCTCCTTTCCCTCCTATTAATGTTTACAGTATATTTACTTCATGTACCATATTATCATCTAATCTTAGACTACATTTGGATTTTGCTGTAAACATTATGTTTAATATAATATTTATGAATTACAGATCAATACATTACCGCGATCCACTCTCGCCTGTTCCGCCTACAAACATCAAACATATAAAGTCTAAAAACTACAGCGAATTAGGTAGCATACCACGGTTTATAGAGAAGTCATCGTCGAAGAACCGCTCCCAGTCTCTGAGACTCAATTCAGCCTCCGGGTATTTATATATGAACGCGAAAACTAATGAGTTCCAACTAGACCCTGAAGACTTCCGAGAAATGGTGTCCAAAAGACGGGAGCAGCTCCGCAGGGGTATGATGATGTACGAGATGGGGTGCAACAACAACGAGCAGTACCTCAACCCGTACCGGCACAGCATCAGCACCAAGATGGAGACCAGCCCGCATAGTTCCTCTCTGTACTCAATGAACTTCAGATCGGAGAACCGAAGCAACGACCCCCTAGTCGACGATTACGACTCTGAGAAATCCAGTTATGCTAAGAAGAAGCTCATGAAGAACATAGCTAGGAACACGAGCAACAAACGCAAAGAGAACTATTTCTACGACGATGCCGTGCTACATTTCGACGACGAGTACGCGTTCGATGGATCCATCTTGTTTGCTAAAAGAAGAAAATCCATAGACAGAAACTGGGATGAGTACGCCTGTGAGATGCCAAAGAACCCTCACTACGGAGCGGACCAGGTGTCCAACGATGGCAGCTACGGATACTACCTGCCCGATGACGAAGAACAGGAGCAGTATTTTGTGAATGACACCCTAACGTTTAATCTTCCACCACACCGAGCGAGTATATAGTGAAAGTGCCAAGTGCAACTTGTGCCAAATTGACAACTTAGTGCCAAACTATACATTAGTGTTAGTTTCGAAACTCAAAATAAATGGGCCAATTAATTAAAAAAATATGGTTAAAATAATAGACTTTTACAATTTTGCGGTAGTTTCGAAGTTTGAAGTTATAGCTTTTACACATAGGGGTGATAGTGGTCGCATTTTTTTATTAATGTTCTACGAATACTGAGCTTGGCTTCCTTGTAGATATTGTAATATAGTGGTTTTAATGGTTGCTTGTTGCGCGGGAGTACGGGTGTCGTCATGTTGTCATATACTGAAATTTCTGTATGAGGTTTTACTCTCTGCAATTCGCCATAACACAAGAATGGCTGATTTAGTTCGAACTTTAGTTCATATCCCTTTATACTTCGATGGCTATATAAAAGAAATATATCTAAATATTAGTGCTTCATAGAACACAACTGTTGAACAACTGAGATTATCAAAATAAAGTCCATACATGCAAATAAATAATTTGAATATCCCACGACTGGGCACAGTTCTCTATCTGGAAGTCTACGTCATATCAGCCGTTAAGTTTGGCAACAGCAGTTAGGCTTTTGATGATACTTTAACAGAGACTCTGCTGCCTTTAAATTCTTTTAGTCGCCTCTTACGACACGGAAAGAAAAGAGTGGCCTTCTATCACACGGCGAAAATCACTAGTTATTTGAATAGAATTATTTTGTTTAATTTCGCTACCATTAATATGTATGTAAATGCCAACACTCGAACATTGACCACTACTGGTACTACCAAAAATTCTACAGTCTTCCTTATTAGCCATCAATCTCCGACTGCTATTTTGTTCACGCACGTATTGCGACACGTCTTACTTTTAAATAAGGCATCTTCAGGCAAATGATTAGATGCTGCTCGTATTCCAGTATTAACCATTAGCATCCAAACTGCGATTAAAAAAAACTTCAATAAATCGCAGTTTGGGTGGCGAATGTTCACCTTTTACGAGAACCTGCACTCCAATTATACCCTGGAAATTATTTTTTTTTTTTAATATACATTTTTTAATCATCCGCCTCGTTACCTCGCAGGAAAGTTAGTATACGACAATAATCAACTAAATTTATTTGCATTTTAACTACTGCGAATACAGAGATTATATTAATATTAGGTGGGATGACGCGTTATGGAGGCCCGAACACGTTATATTAAAATTATTTAGCAATATAGCTGTTTATTATCGCTTCGAATCGCGAAATGGCAAGTTGATAAACACTTGTTTATAAATACGCTTTGAAAATGCATTTGAGATGTAATTTAATGCCCAATATTGATAGTTGGTTGTTTTATTACTACATTCATTTGTGTATTTACAATTATATTCCAGGAAGTGGGGTCTTAAAAAAGACGCATATGTACTGTGCAGTAGGCATTCTAAGTTCTGGGCTGGACAAGGCTCATACGAGGGCCGTACTTAGACAAGCCTGTGATTATGTTAGAAAATATTGCGTTGTAGAAGCGTAGTCGTATTGAATGCAGCATTTTGCGTATTACGAAATTCGCGTAATAATCTCGTACTACTCGTGGAATACTGCGTTCTATACAAATAAAACTAAATGTTCTGTAATAATTTATAGGCACACGACATGTGTTAACACACTGCAATCCTTCACACTACGTTCTCCTATCGAAGTAAATCTGTTTGTAAACTCAGACTTGCGGAAGACTTTGGTGTCCCAAAAACAGAGCTTAAAACAATTTTTTTATGGTTGTTTAAAAAAATAAGAAACGGGAGACCGCGCAGCCCGATGCCCCATAGATTGCCAGGCTATGGGCGATTGCCCACGTCGCCCACGCCTTACACCACCTCTGTTTCTTCGTTTCTTATTTATATACCTATGCTTTTTGTCTATGTATATATTTATATGTCTATTATATACGTATGTGTGCATTTCAAAAGTAGAATAACCAACGACTTTGACTACTTCTCAATGAGATATCAAGATAAAACATATACCAGATTTTAAGTTAGACCTTCAGGAATACAAGTGCAAAAACTGGTTGTCGTTTTACATGTACATATGGTACAGTAATTATTGCATGATGCCGGAACAAACACTTTTAAAATTATTACTTTGGTACCTATTTGTCTTATTAAGACCCCCTTTTACTGATATTTCTTAAATATCTTCCATGTATAGATATCGTCTGATAACAATTTTATTATATTATATATATAATAAGATAATTGATAATTTAGCAATGCCCTTAAAACAAAGCATATTGACGGTTCCGGACATTTTTATACAACATATCGTCAGTGAAATTCTAACAATGCGTAATTCAAAACACATCTTACAGGAGAGCAAAAAACCTGAATAATATATCTATTTCTTTTGTATTAATATTATTTTTAACAATAAGTTCCAATCTAGAATTATCAATTAATTAAAATTCAAATTTGGAATTAAGAAGATCCGCTATAGTTTTAACAATCGAATCAAATCAGAACACGAAAATTAAAAAAAATATATACTTGCATATTTTTGGAGCTTCACTAACGGTATATTAAAACTTTTATGGGTGTACCTATTGCTTACACAACCAACTATCATGTAAGGGTCATATAATTATAGTTTGCTCTCAGACACTAAGAAACATTGTGTACGATAAGAAATAGATAAGATCCAAGTATACTGTATGCAGCTGTCCAAAATTATTTCTATCTAATTAGACTATTCTAAAACAATTTAAACTATCATATAAATATGTATGTACAGATTTTAAGGGAAGTCTCTAAATTTGAAGTGACCATTCTATATATGATATGTGTATAATAACTCGAATTTAATTACTTTTTTATCATCCACCTTCTAACATAGGTCTGCCTCTATTCTCGTCACAAAGTATGGTTCTGTCTTCCATTATATTTATTAACTCATTGCCACATTGTTGATGTTGTCACCCCAATTTATAAGGGGTCGTTCTATACTGCATTTGTTTGTTTTCATTAATCAGTCGTAAACCTATCTTCGACACCGGGTATCAATCTTTTAAGCAATACGTTCACTGTCTGAATCGCTTGCCGATCCTACAGATCATAAAAATATATTTTCAGAATAAGTTACCTTATTTCTGAAAACACTTTTTTTAAATATAAAAAATCAAGCCACTATTTATGTATATATTTAAAAAAATGTATATCAGTTATCTACGATGACGACTACAGGTCTCTTTAACTCTCCTAGGAGGGTTTAGGTGGGGCCCTCAGGAAGGACCCATTTGCCCCAGCTTCAAATCTGGTGACGATTATCCCGGATCGCTGACTCGAAGCCCTATCCTTATTAGGGTGAGGCGTGAACTCTCTCTTCTTCACTTTTGTTGCGGTGGTGGGTATGTGGGACCACTTCTTGTCCCCTAATTATATGTAATATATATATATATATACTTTCTTCAATATATAAATATGTCGTTTATCTAACACCTATAATACAAGCTCTTTTTAACTTGAGACTAGATGGCGCTATTGTGTGTCCAGTGGTACTCGTATTTATCAACCAAGTTTAAAAAGAAGGAAATTCTCGATTCGGTTGTATTTTTTTTTTATGTTTACCTCTTAACTATCAGTTCTAAACCGATTGGGATTTTTTTATCTATAAGGATATACTTGCAGAAGTCTCTCATTAGAAATTTATTTAAAATCGATTCAGTAGTTTCGTTTCTAAATCAGTATAACTGGTTTTATCACAAGTTTTGTTTATTTTTTAATCTTTAACTATTTATATTATATGCACTTATCTTTTGCCTACTTCAGAGGCCTGTGGAGATTTCCCTTAAACTTTGTATACACAAATTATTTAGTATTAAAAAAATATATTGTTCTAAGATCTTTTGTTATTGGTGCAACCATTCAAAATTTATGTCCGACCGTATATGAGCTTTCAGTTAAACTGGCGATTGAAAATATAAAAAGTCTATTTAAGTCATTATTATAGAAATGGGCTCGATTCTTAGGTGCTATTTCTCTAAATCTATCTCTTAATCTAATAATTTGGTAGTTTCGCAAAATTACTATTTTATGGACCATCTCAAACTAAATTTATAATAATTGTGACTCAAATCTATTAGAAAATTAGTTCATATTGGTCTTTAAAGATTTCGCGGTGATATCAAATTGAAATTTTAATTTTAAAGATAAATAGAGATGTGGTACTTCAGAATCGATTCCAATATTGAAATTGTTTAAAAAATATACAAAAGTATATTGGCCATTTTGTTTATTTTTTTTTTTTTGTTTTGACAATGCAATGGTGTAGTGTTGTGTAAATGGACCTAATTGTAAGAAATTATGAACAAATTTAATAAAATACGAGACTGCCGGTCGTCTATGAATTCTTCCGTTTCCTTCTTTGTAAGGAACAAGAGTTTTTGGGTAAGATTTAATGATCTCAAATATTACACTGAGTTGTAATTATTAAATTATTTTAAACAGTATTATTTTCAAGGCTTGTGAACGTTAAGAAATTTTACTTTAATAATTTTATAAGTAAAATTTAATATGTTCAATTTAATATCATGTATTTTTGTTTATAATATCAGTATTAGATACTGTTTGATATTGTTAGTTTACTAAATATAATTATAGAAGAATGTACCATCAGGGTTCCGTTGGTCTACAAGCCGATCCCCTGCAGGGTAGGCAGAGTGAGCTAACTGATTTTGACTAGTCTAACTCCAGTATTATTTTGCTCTGTGATATTTCATTGTTTTATATTTATTTCTATTGTGTAATTGTAGTGTAACTATAATGTTGTTAATGTGGTATCGCAATGAGAGAATTTAAATTTAAATTGTTACATGCAGTGATATTAATGTATAATTACAATTGGCATTAACAGGCCCAGCTGTCTAAGATTTTAACTTCATAATCCGATTGCCGAAGAAAGAAGTGTAAATCTACTTTAATATATATGTATGAGAAGATATATGTATGCATTGTTTTTAACTTAACTTTCGTTTGCTAGATATTAGTAAATGCACTAAATTTACATTAATTTTGGGAGTGCCATACGATAATATGACAAGCTCGTTTTGTCTAATGTATGATTTTAATTTTTTTTTTTTTTTTTTGTTGTTCATAATATTTTATACAAGAAAATATTTGGTTTCTTAGTCAGGTGGGCCTCTTAAATATGTATGTTTAATTTGCAGTACCCATGAGAATTATAATACGCAAAAGCGTTTTAAAAAACAATAAAATGTTTGCTGTACAATACATAAATGGTAAATGGTAATATAAATCTGTTGATAAAGTATGATTATTTGAAATGAAAAAGGTCAATAAATAGTATACTGTTTCACTGTGACAAGGTTCTATAAGTTGTATTATATACCACTGTGTATAATTTTTATTCGACTAAGTATAAATCTTTATAGGGTAGAAGTGACACTCCCACCAATTCAATAATAATACCACTATTGTATTACTAGCTATACTATAATTTGTTTTACAAAGTGTGAACAATATTTAAATATTATGTACCATCCTTTTTCCACTTTTCAAACAAAATAAAGTTATAAAGTATTTGTAACTGGGCTTAATATCCCTAATCAGTCGGGGAGAGCACCATTCGAAAAAAGCATGTGTTGACGAATAATGCAGACTTCATTAAATTAAGGTATTTAAAAATAAAAAAAGGCTTCCAAATTTTATTTTATATTTTCAATTAAAGTATATAGATATTTATTATGTTACATGAGTATATATATTTTACCTTGATCAGGTAATGATGGAAAACGTCGGATTTAAGAGGAAGGGTGTATTACGGTGGCATCAAAGGCCTTACAGAGGAAAATAGTGTCACTTCTACCTAGATATTTATTCTTATTATGATATTTACAGTACATATTCATATTTGTCTGTTTATTTAATAATGAGCGCGCCGTTATAATTTATATATTTATTAATATTTATACATATATATATATATACCTATGTATAATTAATTAACTGCGTATTTATCATGAGTTCTCAAAGATTCTTTTGCATATCAAAAAACTAGACACATTTTATGACGGATTATAATTAACAACTTTATTCTGAGATTCTTTCAAATCTTAGTTTGGAATCAAATCCGTAAACTCACGGTAGACTCATTGGTTATAAATGCCATAAAATACGCTCTCAGGCTGTATTTACTTGATACCGCTTACTTGGTGACATGCCGCTAATATAATGCAATGTTAATGAATGTGTCTTACCGCTCGGTTGCGATGTTTGATTTGGCAAAATAAGCTCAATGTATATGAATAAAGGTATGTAGATGACGAGGCATTCCGCCTGATACTTATTTAGTCCCCGGAATTGGTATCAAGCACCCTAGACTGAACGTTTACGCTATCTTACGCATGAGAAAGAACGAACATTGCTATTTCGTTCTATATTCTGCATGCGACAAGGTATACGTTTTCAAACGAAATGTAAACGAATCTATTTGTAATAGATTAGTTTGCTGCACGTCTATAAGATTATTAATGTCTCGCATACCGCTAAGATCAATCTCAAAATCGTAACCGAACGGGTACTGGTTGTACTACATACATAGACAAGATATTCTTGTCTATGACTGTGAAACAGTGTCTTCTATAATAAGGTACGAGGGTCAAGTAATTATAGAATTATCGAATTATTTCCATTGCGTTCGAATATAAAACTCCTATTATAATGTATAATAAGCTCGTATTGTCGAGACGCGGAATACTAGGTGATCGCGATCTGAGCTAATATTAATTATAAAATGAAATTATAACATATAAATCGGATTTCATTAAAAAATACATACCACCGAAATTTGTTATTTTAATTGCCTACTCCTATGCCCATTGACGCAATAGTACGAAGAGCTACGTCCTCTTTGTCTAAAACGGTTTTGCATACATATTATGAAACAGACAATTTCTCAAGAATACTAGAGGGGAGGACAACAGATTAAATAAATAGATAAAAGGCATTGGTACTTATGGGGCCCTTCCTTTTTGGTCGACCTCTACGCGGTTCCTCCTTGAAACTGTCATTAATTCTTACATTTTTACGAGGGACTAACTGACCTGCTTTCAACCTCTCCTATCACCTCTCTTTCTCTCTTTCTCTGCTGTCCCACCAGCGCTTCGATAGGCAATTCTATCGCCATCCATTAAAGAAAAAAATGAATAGGTGAAAAGGGATAGGTAAATAAAAAATATTTCTTTTTTAAACATGTCCATTTTTTATTCATTGTCTTCTTCATCCTCTTCAAGTCTTCAAAGGGCGCTTGGCTGGTATTTGCCCCCACTCCCTCTCGCACGACGCCATCATGAGGTAAGACGCTGTGACACAAAATACCAAACACCCCCTGAAGAAGACAAAAACACAGTAAATTTATTAATTTTTTTTTTACATATTATGTATAAAATGAAATGTTACCATGCCAATTACTATTTTTGCGTTTTAGCTTTTTAAGTATCTATTAATTTTCAATATTTGTAACTTATTACGTAGGTATATAACAAGTTCTCAAAGTTTGAAATTGAATTCGGTATTCAAAAATTTAAACGAAGGTATTGCCATGATTATGTGAGTAGTTCAAAGCTACCGAAAAATATCTATGCATATTAAACATTTAATATGAATTTTAATAAACTTTTTACAAGATTACATTGACATTATAAAATATTATCTAGTATAAACTGTAATTACTTATTTTATGACACTGACAATAAGGCAGTAACTTTAAACATTTGGTTTATTTTTTCTTACTGCACCCGTAAAGTTTGAAATAGGTAAAATAAAAAAAACTGTATGCTGTATACTAAAGATCCGACTCGGCTTCGTATGAATTGACAAAATTTTCAAAAATCAATATAAATAGTAAAAGAAATTTCAGCCAATTCATTTGATTGGTTATTTTATAGCATTTTATATATAAACCGATTGAAATACAACAAACACTAAATGTTAAGTGGAGTAAATCGCAACACATTAGAGACAGACCGCATTCAAATTGGTTAAGCCGTTTCTGAGATTAGCGTGCGTGCGTCTGTTTGTCTGTACAGACAAAAATTCAAAAAAGTTATTGTTTTGAGTTCTATTGCGTTCTTAAAATCTTTCTATTAAAAATTTTTCTTGTATATCTTCCACGTACAGACAGCGACCAGTAGGCTTACTCTTGAATTTAATATTGATATTAATCCAATTTAATGTTAATATTAATTTTGTACTGTACTCATAAAGTAACAATTAGGAATAAAGTTAAAATTGAAATCGGTTTGCAATAGTTTGCATTGACAAGTTTCACTAATATGCACCTATTAGAAGAGTATGGAACTGTTATGTCGCCAATAATATAATTCCAGAGTGTGAAATGTATGAAATTCCAATATCGATTTATAAGAATTTATTTAAAGAGATCCCATAGTTACGATTTTATTATATGTATTGGCTATTGAATAAGAGAATATCATATGGTGCATTCTAAAGTATTAAACTATGATGGTAATATAATCTGTGCTGATTGTCTACAGAAATGTTGACGATTACTGAGAAGTCACTTTAATAATGACATTTGTTTGTTTATTATACGACTTCTTATTAAAGTTTCGTCTATAATTTCGATATTACAGCCCTTTAAACTATGAGCGAAAAGAATTGGCGAAAGTGTGTGATATGTAACGTACGGGAACATGGAAGTAAAAAGAAACCAATATTTTTCGCAAAATTTCCATTGAATAAAGCCCGGTAAGTTATCGTACAAAAGAGCAACATATATAAAATCTATTGCAAATATATTATTTTTAGCTTTACAAAAAGTCTGTGATACCACATATTTAAGTTTAATATTTCTGTCAAAAAGATGGTTTTTATGTTAAATAAATTTTACAAGCCATTCATTTTAAAATCTTAGAGAATAATAGTGCAGTACTTTCACACACGCCAAATATATACCAGTCTTATTAAAATGTTTTGAATAGTATAAAAGTTACACAAACTAATATTTCACTCGTGTAAAGCCTGTGTGAATCTCTAGTAAATAAATAATTTAGATTTTGACTATGTAACATTGTTTTAGAAATTTTACATTAAATGATTTCAGGTGCAGAGAATGGCTGAAAATGATTGGCAATGAAGAACTAGTGTTTCTTCCTATTGAAAAACTGCACACATCTCGCCGCGTCTGTGGTAAACATTTTGAAAGCAAAGCCTTCAATGAAAAAAGAAACCGAATTAAAAGATGGGCTGTACCTACATTGAATTTAAGCGCTGCTCCACTCTCTGATGAGCAGTTGTCGGAATTTCCTAAGCATGTGTGGAATTGTGGTAAGTAATTGACAAATTATTGAAATTATTGATAAATATTGTAAAACATTCTTAATTCTTGTTTAGAGATGTGTAACACATGGCATATATTTGTGTGCAGGGCGTTATTGATTTGACACAAATAAAAATTCCCTTTTATAAAATTATTCTCTTGAATATTATTAATATTTTATTTGTGTCTCTAGTCCACCAATTTATTTTGTGGTTTGTGTGGGCCCATGATCGTGTTTGGAATAAGTTTGATTTAAATATTTATTTTTTGTGGGTTCAAGCATATGTATATTACATATTTGAATGTAGAGACAAGTCAATCTATATTAATATATAGTAAAAATAGTTGAACACACTAATCTCTGTAACTACCACTTAGTTTTTTTTTATGTTTTTGTGTATTTACATTTAAAAAAAAAATTTAAGGAATTTATGCATTGTAAGTTATAACATGTTTAATAACTTCTTATAGTAATAGAGAATTGAAACTAGCAAGTTATAAATAATAAGAATATTGTGTTAGAATTGGTTGTCCAATAGGCATAAATGCAAAAGGAACAGTTTAATTTTGATTTACATGTTTGAAGGGTGGGATATGGCTTGAATTTACTAGGTACAGAGGAATAATACCTGAGTCCTCAGGAATGGCAACGCATGGGGGGTATCATGGGCGAAACAGTATACTCTGTTATGTCCGTGGCACTGCTCATGTCTATAGGTGACGGTTACCACTTTCCATCAGGTGGGCCATCAGCTTGTTTGCCATTCTAAGTTGTATAAAAAAAACAGCAACTTCAAATATGATAAAATTGTTATAAAACCAACACTATCTATTTATTCCAACAATAATCATTAAAATCGTAACAGAACTGCTGAAACTTTCATAGAATGTTTCACGCAAAACAGCATGGTACAGTCACATTAAAAATCTACTCATTTAACATCTTCCAAAATTTTGTTTACTTTGTTTTGTAAATAGTTCAAATATATCTAACATCAAGGACATGACCTTCAGTAATGTAGTGGACAAAGAGAGAGATCTAACATTAAATTTTGAACTTCAACTAGTGTTATTGTTATTATAGTTTAAATAATTATTCATTTTTTTTATAAAGTTTTTTTAATTCCCACATCAGTAGAGACCTTAACAAGTAAAGCTGAACAGATAAATTATCAGTAAATTGTAAATAATTATATTAAGAAGTATAAATGTATTTTTTATATACATTCTAATATTATATAATAAAAGCCAGTCTGTTGAGAAGCTGTGATATAAACACTTGCATTAAAAAAAAAGAATCATGCTTACATTAATAAATTAATCAATGAAAAACTTCTACTTTATTTTCCTCTCTTTAAAATTTATGGTAATCTTATTGTTCAGGTCCTGTGCCATCGACAAACCCGTCTTTGTTACATTCTTCAGCTAGCACTAAAATAGATGGTAAGTTAAATAATGATGGTAACTAAGATAAAGTTCTTAATTAATTATTAATATAAATATGAGTCCGGTGTGGTCCCGGTACAAAATAAGCAATACCCCTTTCTCTAACCCCACCTGTTACCAGAGCATGTATTATGCAAATGGCTACAGATTCCCTACTTAAGCAATTTTTTTTCTTCTAAAGTTGTGATTTTTGGCGACTTTAATGCCCATCATGCTGAACGGCTCGGTTCACGTACAACTGACTATGCGGGAAGTTCTATTCGAGACTTTGCTCTGACCTATAGTCTGACGCAGCATATTTTCTCACCTACGCGAATACCTAATGCGTTGGACTATTTACCTTCCATGAACCTTCTGACCCGAACAACTATGTGATTTCCATCGAGGCCCCACTTTGTCGAGTCGTTGGATCATTGTTTAGTGCGGAGTGAAGTGACGAGTCTAATATCACCACGCTTGATAGACGTCGTATCAGGCGCTATAGGTTGGCAGATTGGGATGAAATACGAATTTTTTTTCGCATCTTACCCATGGAGGCAGGTTTTGCTTTACACAGGATGATACCGACTCCGTTGCCTATCCCATCGCCGATGATATAGATAGATCTGATAGATCTCAACAATCTAGAAGAGTGTCGGTCGTCCACTGTGCGCTTTTTATAGTATTTTCTTCCATGCACAACTAGGCTTTCGAATCAACTTCCAACAGCAGTATTTCTAAATTGATACGGTATCATAACCTTCAAGAAAAGAGTATATTCCTTCTTAAAAAGCCGGCAGCAGATCTACATTTCTTCGGGTGTTTTGTGTGCTCAAGAGCAACTGTAATCACTTACAATCAGGTAAGCCACATGCTCGTTTGCCTCCTGTTATAAAAAAATTTAATGAACCAATATTCAAGTTTTTACAAATTTTCACATTTATATCATTACTAGCGACCCGCCTTGGCTTCGCACGGATACAATGCTAATACTAAATAGCGCCGCCGACCCCTCGGCCAATACCGCCGCAACCGCTATGTCCCTGCATTTTAAATCTATAATATCTTAGAAAATATTCATTTAAATTACGTACTGTAAATATGCTTGATCTATATTAAAGGTGTAATGTATTTAAGGTACTTAATTGGATAAGGATAAATTCTGTATTACTTAAAATCGTTTCGTAAATAAGCCATTATTTCTCGTAAAAAGTAAAGGATAAAGAATGGTTATTGTGGGTTACCCCTAAGAGATAAACATATACCATCGCGCACTTTTTTGTAGACCTTCTTAAGGTGTATAATACTGTAGTACATTATTTTGATACATCTCGTAGGGTTCAGCCAGCGTTTGCAATGTATGCGTAAAAAGTTTATTTACGACATTAAATTAGAAACCTTTAAAATTATCAGTGTTACTCTGCTATATTATGCATGTATTATACATATAAACCTTCCTCTCGAATCATTCTATCTATTGAAATAACCCGCATCAAAATCCGTTGCGTAGTTTTAAAGATCAAAACGTATATAGGTACAGACAGTCAGAAAACTACTTTCTTTTATTCTATGTAGTGATTAGTACTTTAGTACAATGATCTATCTAGGGACAAAATTTTGGTAAAGACCATTCAAGTTTTGTTCAAATTTTCAAACATACTTCTTCTACTTGATGGATTTATGTCGGTCTATTTATTTGCAGTTCCAAAAATGAACTATATCTATAAAAGTGAGCGTTAACAATGTTTATTAAATAGTCATAACTGTATTTTTTATGTTTAGAATATGCATATAAGATCACAAACCATAAATAGAAATGAGTCGATAGTGAGACGGCATTTCTTTAACCCTACTTTTTAACCTAATATTTTAAAGCCACGTCTGGCAACACTGATGTTTAAGAGTCGGCATTGGCCTTCTTTATATGAGATCTAGAAAAAGAGTACATGTATTAAACGCTGTAATATATAAATATTCGTACTTGCTGCTCAACATAGGCCTCCCCCAAAGACTGCAATAAGGAAATGTTTTGAGCCACCTGCATCCTCTGATTTCCTCTATTGCATTTGAGATCGTTACTCTATCTAGTGGGGTTAGGGGTCATCCTACACTACATTTGCCTGTACAGGGTCGCCTTTCAATACCCTTTTTCCTCATCGATTATCGGTTTTTTGAGCTATGTGATTAGCCCATTGCCACTTCAGCTTGCTTATCCTTCGGGTTATGTCGGTGACTGATTCTTTCGCGGATATCTTCATTTCGGTTTCTGACACACAAACCATAACTCATTTGAAGCTTTTGCATACGAGGACCATGTTTCGCTTCCATTAGTCAACACGCATTTATTATAGACCTTCGTTTTTAAACTTTGAGGTATTTTGGCTGAAAGATGTGGCGTAGTTTTCCGAACGCTGTCCAGCCGATTTGGACTTGTCGGTTGACCTCTCGGTCAAAGTTGTACTTACCTATTCGGACAAGTCTACTAAGTAAAGAATATGCGCATATAGACAAGCAAAAAAATAGCACTATCTATGTAATATTATTAAGTCCTATTAAAATTTATCTAATTCGTAATACATAAATAAATGGTAGAAACAATATTAATGGATTTATCCTTCAGAACGTTAATACTTATCCAGTTGTTTATGAATTTGTCCTTCACATACATTAAAAATAGGCAATGTAAATTAAAGGTAAGCTAAAACCAAACACCCAAAGCAGTAAAAGTATCTTATAAAAAAAAGTTAATTTTACAAACGTATCAAAATTGGAAATTTAGCATATATTCAGATACGATATAGCTTCCGCTACGATACAAATGAGTAAATGAATATTTAAATGAACCGTCATATCAAGAATTATATTATATATATAAATATATATACACGTACATATATATTATATGAATGTTTAAGAGAAAAGGAAAATGTGCAAAATAATTATTTTACTTTCTAACTATTACTTACTATTTTAAGGAAAAAGATTTTTTTAACATTTGGATGTTATTTATAATAAAAATTCGCATCTGGCAACCCAGACTCTGTCATAGCGCTAATACATGACGGCCATGGCATCATCCGCCATTACTGATTACCTTTTCCTAATATTGAAATCGGAATGGTAACATAGTTTCCTACTATTTTTTTAAATATTGTCACTGTGTCTCAGGCCTGTTATCTTCTTATTTGTGTTTATTACTTATTTTTATTTCTTTTTAAATTTCTACTATTTTTTAACATTAAATTTGTGATAAAAAAATTGTGACTCACATAATTTCGTACTTCAAGTAATTTTAATCTTTAAACAGTGTAAACTATGGAACATAAAAAATATCGTATAAATCATAAATGCTCCAAATGTGGAGTTACGGCTGACACGAATCCTACATTGACTTTTCATAGGTTTCCAATAGGAGAAAAGTCAAGTTCCCTCTTACAGTAAGTAAAGTTACAAAATACATTATTACAATTTATTTTTCGGCAAATGCACAAAATTTGAATGTTAGTAGTCTAATAGTGTTAGTGTTATTGATAAACATATTATGAGAAAACTATGGATTTAAAGTGTTAATAGAATAAACGTTTAATGTGTAAATTATTCTACTTTTCTAAAATAACTTCAATTAAGTTTCAATCGAAATATAAACTTCTTGAATATTTACACAAAAATTAAAATTATTACAGAATTCTTATATAGTTTTCTTATATGAAAAACAATAAAATGTAAAACCCATATATGTACTTAGTATTTTACATTTAAATTGGTTTGCTCAAAAACTGAATAAGTATACTAATATAACATTAAAGGATTTTCTTTGACTCTAGCATACATAAGTATACATTTTTGCAATTACATATCCTTCTGCACATCCAGAAAGTCTTGAGTTCATCGGCATATTTAAGATTAGTTTCTGGGGGGGACTGATTTCTTAAAAACTCATCTTTGCAAAGGTTCACTTCTATCATAGAGTGGGCACACAATTTTAAGAACTGACACACTTTGTTGCCCCTTTAATATGACTATTGTCGAGATTGGCTTGTTCTGATTAACAAGAGTATAATTTAAAAACTATTATTTTTCTTGTATTATAAAAGTACACTATATTTTGCATTTGACATTTTTTATTTTAATTAATTATATTGAAATTTTTGGAGTCTAATATATTTGACCATAGTAACACTTTCTCACAATCAACTGTTATTTTAAACCCTGAAGTTAGAAAACAATAAAACAAAAATATAATTTGACAGATAATTATTTGTTGAAATCAAATTCTTTATTATTTTGATCTATTAGAACAGCCATATATATTTTTAATAACTTTATTATATTAATCTTTTAGGTTACAAGTATGGGCTGAATACTGTTTCCCAGATCAAGACTGGTCTTCAACAGACAAACTTCAAACGTTATGGAGGGAACATAAAATGTTGTGCTCTAAACACTTTGATAGTTCCTCCTTTACTGATCGTTTTAGAAAAAGATTAAAGTCTTTTGCAGTACCTACTAATGCAAAAAATATACTACAGAAATTACGGAAAGATAAGGCAAAAGTAAGTTTAGAAGTAATAATAAATAAACATACCTATATACTGGGAGCTAGGGAATTGTTAGTAATAAGGTCAAACAGTCTCTTTGCTAGCAATATACCCTGTCAGGTTGACCTCTATATGATTCCTCCTAGAAATCATCATGGTTAATTATTGTTGAATTGGTTGCAATGGGTCAACTGCACTGCTTTCATCTTCATCCCTTGTCTGCGCTATCTTTATATGCTGGCGGGACACTAATGAGGTACGATAGGTGACAATAAAAGCAGGTCAGTTAGCCTATTGTGACAAATTCCACTAGAATTAACCAGGATAATTTCCAAGGGGAAGTGTGTAGAGGTCAACCTCAAGCAATACACCCTATCGTATTGCTGGCAATGGGTCAGTTACAATTCTATTACTAACAATACCTTTCCTACCATTTATATCCTGGTTACATAGTAACAGGATAAGAACTGTTAAAATAGTTCCCAAAAAATTAAAACAATAAAATGTAATATTGTATCAAATATACAATCAATACAACAAACACCATTTATTTGTAGGCTTCACCATATCCCTACAGACCATTGCGCAGAAGCTGTGAAATATGTGGCTGTAGATCAATGGGCAGAGATGGTAAAAAATTGAATTTTATGGCTCGGTTTCCTATAGATGAAGTTAGGTAAGTTGTAAACTGAAAAATATATCGATATATACACATAATATAGTAATTTTAATAGTATTTATATCCTCTTATAGGGAAAGAGCCATGTCCATAAGTGGACATTTATAGCCCATACATGTATTCTCGCGATATTAATTCCTTACAATCAATATCATGATAATCTAATAAACAGGTTAACATCGCACTATTACGCACAACGGCCCAAATGAGAGGCTAAGTGCGGAAAACAGAGTCTTTCTTACATTACAACATCGCACTATTATTTTCCTTCATAATTATTTTCTTGTTTAAACATTTTTCAATGGACATCAAAAAGAATGAGGTTCTTAATTGGTTTGTATTTTTTAATGTTTGTTACCTCAATACTGTCGATTATAAACTGATATTGAAAAGTTTTTTAAATATATATATGAAATCATATACTTACAGATTGGTTACAAAGAAATTTTATTAAAATCAGTTCCGTAGTTTAGTTTTTAAACAAATTGTTTTGCCACAATTGAACTAGATTTTTTTTGTGTAAAAAATTTTTATATAAATTATTTGTCTACCGAATATAATAATTAAACACGTATATTGTTGTGCCCAGTGTTCTAACCAAATACTGGATCACTTTATTATCAGAAGCAATTTTTTCTTTTCATATAAACCTTTCCAAAAAAAAGGATATCTGTAAAGAAATTGTACTGGTCGAACCATTCTCCAAATTTGCACTTAGTAACATTAAACTATTTATTATTATTTGTATATGATAGACAGATTGATATGCGTGTACATTTATTATTGATAATTGGATATTCTACTTGCTGTATTTGTTTTTGTTAATTTGTACAAATTTTACAATTAATATGTTTTAAACATTTATATACAGTTACATTAATATTATGTATATAATATTACTTTATTTTTTATACCACTGAGGTGGCAAACAAGCATTTGGCACACCATGATGGTAAGCGGTTACCATACCCTATGAACGTCTGCAATACCAGGGGTATTTATATTTTTATGATATTTCAATGACTACATTTTTATTGTTTTCCTGTAATAGGTGTAAGCAGTGGGTAAAAATGACGGGAAAAGAAGATTTAGCATATTTACCCATAGAGAAATTGCACCAATTAAAATTTTTATGTGGCATGCATTTCGATAGGAAATATTTCACAAAAATGAAAATGCGTCTAAAAAGGAACGCAGTACCTTCTATAAATCTATCAGCTCCGCCACTACCAGATTCGATTTTATCAGATTTTCCATGCCATATTTATTCCAAGTCTTCAAATTCTAAACAAGATCTTAAATCAAAAGGTATGCACTGAAATACATATATACACTTTTCTATAGTACATAATATTGGCTAATTTGAAATCTATTTTAATTATTAGTTTTCAATCGACTTCAAAAAGAAGGAAGTTCTCAATTAGTACTTTTTTTTTTTATATTTGTTACTTCATAATTGTGTCAGTATTAAATCGATTTACAAAATTATTTTTTTTATTTGAAAGGGTACATTTTATTAAAATCGGTTTTCAGTAGTTTAGTTTTGAAATAAAAATAACTTCTTTTACCACAATTGAAATTAGTTTTTTTCTGCAGAACACAATGTTTAATTGTGGTCTTTTTTTTATTTGAAATAAAGTGGCAGAACAAAGTTATTGTTAAAATAGGTTTGTAGGTTTAAATTTTTATGAACTCCTAAAAAAGTAAAGGTTTACACATTTCAATAATCCATTATTTTTTAAAAAATTTAAAGACTGACATGTTTATAACGCTTTTCATGTTTCATGCCTGTTTGTATCCTAATTTAATACATTGGATAATTAATGTACAAAATTTCGCGGGCAAAGCTGTGTGGTACAGATAGAAAGTTGTAATTTGTAAGCAAGTAATTGTCTAATATTATAAATGTGAAAATTTGTAAATATGTTTGTATATTTGATACTCAAGCATTCTCATACGGCTAAAGGGGTTTGAATAAAATTCGTTACACGGATAGACTATATGCCAACTAAAACAGGATACTTCATTTACTTATTGACGCGGGCAAAACCGCAGAATTCAACTAGTAAGTTGTAATTTGTACGTAAGTGTTGGTACCATTTCTAATGTTTTATTTTTTCTTTCTGTTTGTCTAGTTTCTTTATTATCAATGGAACAAAAGAAAGGCTGTAAGAGAAGAATACCTTTGTTGCAAATTAAAAGCATTTTTAAAGGAGGTACGTATTACGCTTTTGTATAGTTATAATCAAATTTATTTACCTGAACATATTTAAAAAAAAATCATAAATAGATAATTTATAAACAATCAGTTATACATGTGGTAGAACACACAAAGGGAGGCAAAGTCTCGCCTTACTTAAGGGTTCCATACCCTCTGTGAGTTTAGGATCGTTAACAATTTTCATAATCCGTCTTAAACCGTGTCAAAAGGGCCAAGATGGTATTCAGGTGCTCCAGCCCACAGAACAGTACTCCATGGGAGGCCGGACTTGCGACTTGTACAACAAAAGTCTTTGTCTCGGGTTTAAGTACCGTTTCGCTTTATTGAGTGCCCCGAGTTTTTTAGACGCTAGTTTGACCCTATCTTCTAGATGACCTCGGATCTCTAGAACAGTGCTGGAGATTTCAACACCGAGGATCCCAATACTACTACTACGGACTAAGTTTAGTTGTCCCCAATCGGATACTCTCAACAGTTAGTCTCCACAACGGAGCGAGAGATATTTGGACGGCCCGTGTAGTATGCATGCCCAGAACTGTCATCCGCATAACAATGTATGTTGACCGTAGCCAGCAAATCATTGATATGCAGCAAAAACAGCGTTGGGGACAACACAGAGCCTTGCCGGACGTCGGCATTAATGTCCATGCTGTCGGAACTACTACCGTCAATCACGGTTTTAATACATGTGCCGGACAGAAAGCTGGGGATCCATTTGCGTAGATGAATGAACCAGTTGTAAGAAACCATAGGTCAGAGCAAACTCGTGAGCAGCTCCGCCTGTCAAATCAGTTTTCCGAGATCCTAGCTACTCAGCATAGTAAGTGGCTCGGCTTGGCAGCGATTTTCTGTAAGGTGGAGGTACAATGGCAGTCCGGGCAGCTCCAATTCGAGCGAGAGAACTCGCTGTGCCCTTCCTCTCTTGGTTTTTTTTATATAATTGTATATATATTATAATAAAATTATAATTATTAATAATAACGTCTTTAATTATTATTATTTATTATCTAGAGCAGGTGGTATGATTAAAAAACTTTCATTGTTACAGAAGTATCAAAAGGAAAAACAAATTCACGTGAACACAGTTATTGTACTGTGCAAGCGAGCGTTTCCGATGAACCAAATATATCAACTGTAAATCAAGGTAAATATTAATTATCATCATATCAGCAATTACTGCTAAATATAGAATGAGGAGGTTACCAGTAGTTGCCACGTTTGGCAATCGTGTTGGCAACTGCAGTTAAGCTTTGGTGACATTTTAAGATGGAGACTGCTATCTATCTTTCGACCATTAAATTCCCTTAGTTGCCTCTTACGTCACTCACGGGAAAGGAAGGAGTGGTCCATTTTATGCTTTAATTGATGATAATGGAATGGTGACCCCGCCTGAGCCATCAGTATACACTGGCGGGACACCAGTGAGGGATGATAAGTGAAAATGAAGCAGTTTTGTTAGCCCATCGTGACAAATTCACTAATGAATCAATCACGATGGTTTCCAGGAGGAACACGCGGATCCCCCTGGAAACTATCATGATTAATTCTTCATGATGAATTCATCATGATAGGCTAACTGGCCTGTTTTCATTCTTATCGATCACCCTTCACTGGTGCTCCGCCAGCGTATCCCGTTAGCGCAGGCGGGGTTACCATACCATTCAACAAAAAAAAGAGTTAAGTACATAGATAAGTAGGTAGGTGTTACTAGGATTAGTAAATAATAAGGAAAAAGTTGACTAATATTAACCACTTTTATCAAGAAACCCATGCTCAGTACTGGGATATTGAGTGTATTATATACACGTAATTATAGTATATATGCGTTCTTCGCTTATCCTTATTTGGATATTTTTTTTTTCAATAGAATGTTACATAGAAATAAATAGTTTTATTTTTTAATTTAACGTGATATTCCAGATTCAGACAATGCTGTCGATCAAGAAGTTCTTGAAGAAGAATATTTAAGTGATATGGATAAATATGAACAAAGTTTCGATGGCACTGAAGTGAACACAGGTAAGTGGTCAGATTTGTTTTATAATCGGTGCTGATGTTTCAAGTGGTAGAAGGTTCAATGTAATAAATTATTGTATTTTTTTTTATGGGTGAAAATGGTATGGTAACCCCGCTTGCGCTAACGGGATACGCTGGCGGAGCACCAGTGAAGGGTGATAGATGAGAATGAAAACAGGCCAGTTAACCCATCATGATGAATTCATCAGGAATTAACCATGATAGTTTCCAGGGAGAACCGCGAGGAGGTCGACCTGGTTGGGTATATTTCTAGCAATGGGATTCTCAGTCTCCATTACTAACAATCCCTTTCCTCCCTATTGTATATTATTGTAAACAAATAAATTTATTTGGAAAGAATACGAACTGAGTTTCTTGTCAGTCCTTCTCATCTCGATATCATTCCGAACTGACGGTGGATTTGACATATCATAAGTGACTGGAATAGACCTACATGAATAAAGATATTTTGGATTTTTAAATCAGTATTATTAGATAAAGTCCATACATAGTTAGTAATCTAGAGTTATGGGGCGTTTAACACTTTGAAGACCGCATTGCAAAATCGTATTTCTCACATATCGTCGTAGTCGTAGAATACTGACGGATCTATATATGTAATCTTTGTCAGATCCGTCAGTATTCTACGACTATGACGATATGGACCGGCTTTTTTTTATTGTTAATTATGTATATTATTTTTTAAATATTTTTTTTGTGTACAATAATTCTATGTCAAATTAACTAAATCCGCTATATACAATATCTCTTCGAAGGAGCGGCGAATCGACTACTGTACATAAATAGTATTTAAATCATGCCCACCGGTGTACAAGCGGCCCCCAAGTAAAACATGTCGTGTACCCACGGGTGGGCACTCGACGTGGTGGTTTTAGATCAGTAATGTTGTTACGGAGTGACCCGCTCTTGGACATGTGGTCTTTTACGTGTTAATTAATTCGACGAAGTTTTAAAAGCACGTAACTCTGGGTGTGCGTTAGTCGAGGTGTAGCTGTACATAACTTTTATACTTGCATTTGTTTTTTTGTTATCATTAAATAAAAATACATATTCTGCAGATAAATCACACACTGATGCAGCGTTATTCTCCTGGCAGAAGAAGGCTCCAATAGTATGCGATGAAGATGTATGTGATCCAGGTACGATTTGTATGTCAACTTACCAGCTTTCTTCTCTCTTGTGAGTTTTGGAATAAAACAGCTACCTTGGGATATAATATTTATAAGTATTAATAAAATGTAATGTTACCATTTCCTTATCATCTATTAAAAAAAACTTGATCCTCAAGGTGGTATTGCAGGTAGGATAGGCTACGGTAACCACTTACCATCAGGTGGGCCGTACGCTTGTTTACCACCTCAGTGCTATAAAGAAAATAAAATAAAAAAAAAATCTTCATCTATCATTCCGCTTATGCAGTTACCGTTTCATTTTTACGTATGCAGTCATATCTATGTCAGTGCGTGCAATGCAGTAAAAAAAAATATAAGAAAAATGGGACGACACAGTAACCCAATATGTGCAATGCTTAATTGGCAATTAATAAACAAACTATTTTCTTATTGCATTGTACGCATTAACACACACAAGAATCCATCCCCCCCCCCCCCTCCACCGTTCCCTCCTCTAGTAAAGAAGAGTTCAATTTGCGAATTTTCTTTTATTATTTGTAATAACTATATTTTGTATAGAACATTTATCCGGTTAGATATTATAAAATGGATGGGAATGAAAGCAGACCGATTGGCCCATCGTAACGAATTCAACAACAATTAACCAGTATTATACAAAAGTCGATTGCTTGGGTACCTCTGTCCCATTCGTGTTTCAACCGTGAAGCAGTTGTGTGTGCATGGCTGTGTTTTGGTTTAAAGGATGTGGCAGTGAACTTACAAGGTACAGAGGAATAACACCTTAGTCCTCAGGAATGGCAACGCATAGGGGGTATCATGGGCGAAACAGTATACTCTGTTATGTCCACGGTACTGTTCATGTCTATAGGCGATGGTTACTACTTTCCATCAGGTTAGATCCCCATTACTAACAATTATTTTTCCCCCATTCGGTTAGTTAGTATATAAACTCAGTTGTATACATATTTTTGCAGATGGCTGGGATACTTATGAAGACCTTTCGATGTATAACGACGATAGTCCAAACGCAGGTGGGATATTGATTTATTATTAAATAAAAGAATCGCCTTGGTAAAATAAAAGTGTATACAAGTCGAGGCGCGCGTCCAGAGAAGCAGTAGTTCAACTAGTAACTAAATAACAATAAACAATAATAATATACTAAATAATTAGTAATAATAGTAATAATAAGTAGTAATAGTACTGGCCCTGGCAAGGAGTAAGAAGTAAAAGGTGCGGGATCAAGGGGCCTACCATGAAATGAAATTCCGAAGTTTCGGACTCAATTTCGTGTTTTCGTTCATACCTAATACGGCCCAGTAAATGCTTAACATTTCGTTCGTCATAAATCCTAACATAAAAGTCTAAGAGAATAATATTTTAAATGTTTTTAAACGGTTAGTTTTATGTAATTTTAACATCAAATTTGTGTTTCGTTCGGCTCCGAAATTTCGGAAAACATTTCATGGTAGGCCCTCAGATCCCGTCTGCTTCGAAATTGTCAGTCGCAAAATATTTACTGATATTTCATATCTTAACATTTCTGTTACAAGTCTTTTGTGCCTATATTTTTATTTCCGCTTCCATTGTGAATGCGTCCTGATAATTTTATTTAACTTATTCTCTATGTGTTGATAATAGAGTTTTTTTTTTATTTGCAGATGAAGAAAATAATCAACATGTAGAAAGTAATGTGCCACAGATGCATGAAGGGTACACATGCAATGGTTGCGAGGGAACAATATCGGGGTAAGTAATAAGATGGGTGGGAGCTACGATGTCATCATCATATCAGCCTTTAACTGTCCACTGCTGAACCTATAGAGGCCTCCCCTGTAGAGGGTTTTGTAGTTGCCACGCTTGGCAGGCGAATTGGCAACCGCAGTTAGGCTTTGGAGATGTTTTAAGAGGAACACTGCGTCCGTCCCTCGAACTCCTTTAGTCGCCTCTTACGACACCCATAGGAAAGGAAGGGGTGGCCTATTATATGCCGGAACCATACAGTGTCGATACGATATAGATACTAAATATTCATGATTTTCTTTTATACCACTTAGATGATGAACGAGTCTATGGTTCACCTTATGATACGTTGTTACCTTATGTATGTAGTACACTGTACTCTGTTATGTCTATGGACCTGCACATGTCTATAGGCGACGGTCATTACTTCCTATCAGGTGGGCCGTTAGTTTGTTTGCCATTCTAAGTTGTATAAAAAAAAAATCTTGTCTAAATATTGCAGTTGTATTTGGCGTGTATTGTGAGAGAAGATGTAGAACTTTTTGGCCATATTGAGCATCTGAAGTATCTTAATGCTGATTTGTCTTTTATATTTAGATCTCAGAATTGAATGTCGCTCGATATATTCAAGAATCATTATCAAGAAGTTATATATGACTATTATGTACTTAATTTGGCATTTTTGTACGCAGGTTCAGATACACATGCGTGCAGTGCGAGGACTACGACCTGTGCGAGGCGTGCGAGGCGAGACACCTACATATGCAGCATTACATGCTGCGGGTGCCGGGCCCCAGGCCGCAGGTATGTATACAGGTAGAACATAGAGAGGGCGTGGGTGTACTACGAGCTGAACGAGGGTTTTTCTAATAAATCAGACTTGGCATAGTTCAGTTTCGTTTATTAGCTCAAAATAAAATATTGTAACTTCCTCTCCCCCCCCCCCCCCCCCCCCCACAAAGCTGTTTGTTTTGTATTTAAGATCCCAATGAGTGGATAATAGGCGAGGATGAAATCTTTTGGCCAATCGTGACAAATTCTCCGGGATTAAACCAAAATGTAAGTTTGTTTTATTTACATTATTTTTACCTGTACCTTTCCTGCATTAGATTACCCACCAATTAATTATTTTCTCTCTAACTGCACTAGGTTGGCTGGAAGAGATCTCTTTTAAAGATAAACCTAGTTTAAGATAATATATATGTTTTCCAAGGGAAGCCAGTGCAAGGCGACCTGACTGGTCCACCTTGTATAGTGTTTAACTAAAAAAATAGAAAAAATGCAAAGTGTGTCAGTAATTTAGAATAAAATAAATTTACTTAGTAGTTTATTGGCACAAACAATTTTAGATTTTGTTCTTCATTTCATGCTTTAATTGTTACTTTCTCAAAACTTGATTTTGAATTATGAGTTTTTTGCAATAGGATATCAACTCAACCCAAACTTAATACATTTTTGAATATCTCTTTTGAGCATGTTTATATCAACTATAAATAAATATAATAATAAAAAATATATGAAAGTTTGTAATGTATATTCTAAGCTTTTTGTCGTATTATTTTAATATTTGCTTTTTATTTTTCAGGGAGAAGTAAAATTAATAATAAACACAATCAAGAGGACATTAAACGAGTCGACCGTTGAAGTGAAGGATGAATTAATAACAAAGTAAATTTTAATTTATTACTTTATACTTTAATATATATATTTAATTGAATGATGCCCATGACTTCACTCTAATGAATTAATGTCACATAAGTTTTTATTCGCCCATTAAACTTTGTAATTAGCAAATAGTGACCTTTTTCAACCGACTACAAAAGAGAAGGTTCTCAGTTTGGTTTATGTTTGTTACCTTTAGTTTCCGTCAGATTTAAACCGCTTTGGAAAAATATTTTTTTTATGTAAAAGGGTATACTTTCAAATTGATTTCATAGAAATTTATCAAAATCAGTATAGCTTCGGTGAGCTTACATTTGAGTTATATTTTAAACATTTCTTAAATACTATTTTTGTGGGTAGATATATTCGCTAACAAATCACACAAACAGTTGCTGAGACAGATGAGAACGGAATCCAAAAATTATAAAAAGTGTAAATGTACATTAATATAAGGGTGGGATATGGCGTGAATTTACTGGGTACAGAGGAATAACACCTGAGTCCTCAGGAATGGCAACGCATGGGGGTATCATGGGCGAAACAGTATACTCTGTTATGTCCATGGTACTGCTCACTGTCTATAGGCGACGGTTACCACTTTACATCAGGTGGACCGTCAGCTTGTTTGCCATTCTAAGTTGTATAAAAAAAAAATTATTGCCATTCAAAATTGTATAAAAAAAATCTGTTTCAGCATAAAAGAAGAAGTGGACGAGGCATTTGATGAGACCCTTATTGAGACACTCGATGAGTCGTTCGATGAGGCATTTGATGAGAGGGACCCTCTGGAAGGTGCGACGGCGCGGTCGGTTGCCTCGTTCCGTTCGCAACAGTCACGAATGGACTACACGGACATTGAAACCATCGACGATGACGCACTAACGGATGTAACTAGTCGACTATTTCTTTTTAACCGACTTCAAAAAGGGAGGGGGACGTGAGTGAATCTCACGTTGCCGTTTTTATTCAGTGCTCTGTCGTTTATGGAACGATTTGGAAAATCGTTGTGAAAGGATGTACTTTCGGATTGATCCCATACATATTTCATGAAAATCATTTCATAGTTGATGGAGTCAGTTGTGAAACGATTTGGAAAATCCCTTTATTTTTTTATCTGAAATCTCCCTACATATATGTAGGGAGTTACTTGTCTGTTATTGTAGGGAGGCATAGAATGTAAATACTTTATAAAGGATTTATTTATTAAATAACTTTTTTGACTAAATTACTATTTGGTACAAAAGGCGGACTAATTGCTAGTAGCATTTTTTTTTATATGCAACTTAGACTGGCAAACAAGCTGACGGCCCACCTAATGGAAAATGGTAACCATCACCTATAGACATGAGCAGTACCACGGACATAACACAGAGTATACTGTTTCGCCCATGATACCCCCCATGCGTTGCCTTTCCTGAGGATTCAGGTGTTATTCCTCTGTACTCTGTAAATACACTGCTATATCACACCCTTCAAACCGAAACACAGCCATGCAAACACAACTGCTTCACTGTTGAAACACGAATGGGACAGAGGTACCCAAGCAATCGACTTTTGTACGTACATATATATATATATATATATATATATATATATATATATATATATATATATATATATATATATATATAATATAAAAGAAATTATTATAATTATTAATTATTTTTAAAAACTGCAAGGGTGATTACTATAAAATAAATAAAAAAAAAACTAAATTCTTTTGACTACTAACAAAGTATTACATGACACAAAGTTTAATAACATTTTTTATTGTTCAACAGAACGGAACGAAATGGAAACAGAAAGAGTATGGAGAAACTGGTGTAACAGACAGTAAGAAGAATCTAGAAGATTTATGGTCAGATGAGGAACCAGATATATTTGACATTGAAAAAGGAAAGAGTAAACCTAGCACAAGGAAAGTCAAACGAGTCACCCTAAATAGTATTAGTTCTAATAACAGTTCTAATTCCACACCAAAAACTGGCCATAAAGTTATTAAGATCAAATGTTACAAACCAAATATTTCAAAGGAAAATGTAAATAAATGCTTTGTAATTGTCAATGATATTCTTCGAGCAGAGGACGGTAACAAGATTTGTACTTTAAAAATTAAAAATATTAAAACTATAAACAGTGATCGGAATAAATTACACAAAAATGTTACACCCTTTAGTAACAGTTCTAAATTTAAAAATAATGTTACTACCAGTAGTCAGAGTAGTCCAAAGAGTGTTACTGCAAATATTGAAAATAATAGTCAGAAACGTCAAAAAAATGTTACAACCAGAACTGTGGATGATAGTCAGAGTACTGAACAAAGTGTTACGGCTAGCCGTAGTAAAGAGTAAAAAATGAAACAATCGATTCAAAAGTCATTACTGCATAAAAATGTCACTACCAGACCTTTTAGCAATCGGAGTTCTCCAGAAAATGTTACTGATAATAGTGAAAATAGTAGTCTATAGAATTATGGATAATAGAATTCTATAGAAAATGTTACATGCAGTAACATTTTCTAAAGAATTCTATTATCTAGCTAAGCTCTCTAAGCTGCATTAAACAGCATCTAAAATTACTCAAAGACATTACTCAAAGCCTTTCAATCCCAAATTGATTAGAGTTTGTCTTGTGAGTACTAAACAACTGGTAGATATAATATTTTTTGTAAATAATGTAAAAAAACAACACTAAAATGTTAAAGTTTGTAGTGTCCGAGTTTTTGGCTTGCAACAAGTGGAAGGTAAAACAATGTAAAACCAATAAATAACTACCAAATTTATTTAGAGTTTAAAAAATTGTTACTACTACCAGTATGTAGTAGGTAAAATTGTATTCAGAATCATCAATAGTGTGATATAGCAGTCATTGTTAATGAATATGAAGTGAAATATATTGATGAATATAAAATTAAATATTTTATTTATATGGCCCAGTATTATGAGGCATTCAAAGGTTGATCAGACTTAGAATTTGATAAGTCAAAGGGCAAAAAATAAACAATTTGTCTTATAAGATTTACTTTTATCGAAGGCAAAGCTCGCAGAAATGGTTTCAATGTCAAAATCGATCATTTTCAATGTTAGTATCTTGAACCTAGTCCTTGTAAGTTACATTCTGTGAATGCGCTTAAACGGAGAAGTGATATCAAATATTTTTATGTTTACTGAAGAGACCAAAACATACTTCTTTGTTTGTTGTGGCCCAGATTGTTACCGATATTGACTATTGGATAAATCTCAGTGACATTAAAAATCAATGCTGATACAAGTGTTATTATTGGCCATGAAGCGTAGGTATTCTATCGATTGATTATATAGATCTATTATAGGATAGTATAGTATGTGCTCCATATCGAGGTTTTCTCTAAAGACTACTATATGGTATTTTTCAAAAAGGGTGCATTTAGGTTTCTTCAGGGTCGACAATGCACACGTGACATTCCTAGTGTTGGCATCCATAGGCTACAGTCACCGTTTACTATCAGACAGCCTTTATGCTTGTTTGTCACATTTGTGGTATAAATGAATACTATGCTTCCTTATTGGGATAGTTAAATAAATAATAATGATAAAAAAGGATTTGAACAACTATACACACACAACAGTCTAAACTTTGATGTCTATGGTTTGGACCATAGATCATAGTCACCAATAGTAGGCACTGGAAGCTAGTTCTAGCCTAGTATCCAGTGACTATTATTTCGAAGAAGAAAAATATGTGAAAAATTATTTCTAATGAACTTTAAGGGTCATTTTTATGTATATTCAGAAGAGAATCTTTTTTAATGTTTCAGTTTCAAAAGTGTAAATTTATTAATTGTAATAAAAATTTATTTCCATGTAACTAAAGTCTTATTTTTTTTATTTGGTAATTTTTTCCTAGTCATATAATGGGAATGGCTGGCAACAAATTACGCCTTAAAAAAGAGGACGTACTATATACTATATATATACTATAAATAGCACTTATACCCGGCCTGCGGTATAAGTTGGCAGGGCAATGGGACTGGTAGTCTGTATTACTAACAATCCCCCCCCTCGCATAAACATTTAGGACGTTGACCGTTACCAACGATTTTGTACAAAGGCGCCAAATAAACACTAAACATGGAGAAAGTAATTGTTAAATTCAACCAAACCATCGTGGTTAATTATCAAATTCTTAAGAATGGGCCAACTGAACTACTTTCTTCATCACCTGTTATCACTCATTGGTGCCTCGCTAGCATAACCGCGGCGTAGTTACTATTCTATTATCACCCATTAAAAAAAAAACCGACGGTGGCCCACGTTAGACCGACTATGCTGAAAAGAATATTTTTACAAAAGGTATCGCTACTGATTACGTAAAATTGTTGTACACTGTATGGCGGAATAAAAGATAGATGTCGCTATATTCATTTATTAAAAGTCTTAGAAATGTAAAATGTGAAACATAGATGGCTTCAGTATTATTTTCATCATAATTTTACCCTTTATAAATCTTATAATTAATTAGCTTAGCTGTATTTTTTTGTAATTATAGAATAATATAGTTATTAAAATTGATTACAGTTTAAAATTAATTGTATAATAGAGTTCCAACAACTTGGAAGAGTGGCAGTCTTCCATTGTGCGTTTTTCAAGCCATAACCTTCCACGCACAACAACGCTTTGGTATCAACTTCCAGCAACAGTATTTGCGAACTGATACGACATCGTAACCTTCAAGAAAAGAGCATATTCCCTTTTAAAAGTCCGGCAGCACACCTGCAATTCCTCTGGTTTTGCGAATGCTCATGGGCAGCGGTAGTCACTTACCATCTGGTGAGCCGCATGCTCGTTTTTTTTTTTTAAAAAAAAAGTAACAATGTATTTTGTTAGATGTATAAGTTTGTACATGAATATCGCATAGCATACTATGACATCCATGTTATAGCATAGGGGTTTTTTTTAATGGGTGATAATGGAATGGTAACCCCACCTGCGCTATCGGTATACGCTGGTGGGGCACCAGTGAGGGATGATAGATGAGGATGAAAGCAGGTCAGTTAGCCCATCGTGACGAATTCCACTAGAATTACCCACGATGGTTTCCAGGGGGAAAAGGGCGTGGAGGTCGACCTGATAGGGTATATTAAATACAAATACAAATACAACGACTTTAGCATATTGTGGATCATAGTTTAAATTAAGGTATTACATGAGTTAAATAGTATCTCCATGTCCTGCTATATAAGCGTACAATATATGGAACAGTTATATTACTTTCAATGGATTCATTAGACCCCATTACTAACAATCCCTTCCCCCCAAGCATAGGGGGTATGCCTGGTCATTCCTTAGGACTATGATATTATATCTCCATACCTTATAATTTCATTGCCATATGCCACTCTTCAATTTGAAATACAAGTATAGTGGCTTCTGTGTAAAATGTAGAGTGGCACAGATGTACCCACGCATATGACTTAAACAGTTTTCCGATAAGACAAGTCATCGTAATTTAGATATTTATAGTTAAAAAAAGATATGGAAGTAGTTACTATTGTGGGTATTAATAAAGTTGGAAAAAACATTGCATTTCAGTGAAATAGAAAGAACATTTACAAGTTTAGAAATTTGGAAAGCTCAAAGTTTTGCTATTATCTAATAGTATATAGTCGTATTCAGATTTACATACAAACTTATCGACTTAATGATCTAAAACCCTCATTGTCAACAATATACACTATCAGGTTATGTGAATGATTGGCGCCTTACTATCCGACTCGACCCACTGAAATTGCGTAAAGATGTTGCATCTTTATGCATCTTCTACCGAATTCATCATGGGGAGTGCTCTGAGGAATTGTTCGGATTGATACCTGCTGCTGATTTTTATCATCGTACAACCCGCCATAAAAAAGAATTTCATCCCAACCATCTGAATGAGTGGCGGTCCTCCACCGTGCGTTTTTCAAGGCACTTTCTTACACGCAGAACCACTCTTTGGAATCAACTTCCAGCAGCAGTATTTCCTAATCCATACGACAACATAACCTACAAGAAAAGAGTATATTTCTTTTTAAAAGGCCGGCAGCACACCTGCAATGCTGTTGGTGTTGTGGGTGATCATGGGCGGCGGTAGTCACTTACCATCAGGTGAGCCGCATGCTCGATTGCCCTCTGTGTTATAAAAAAAAATCAGGTCGAACTCCACGCGGTTCCCACTGGAAATTATCGTTGTAAACTTTTTTTTAATACATCTCGATGGGCTAACTGACCTGCTTTCTCCTCACCTATCATCTCTCACTGGTCCCTCGTCAACGAATACCAATAGCGCAGGCGGGGTTATCATTTCATATCCATCCATAAAGAAAGTCACTTCATAGTGTTATCTAATTTCATTACTTCTTTTATGCATAGACGCTGGTACAGATGTTGGCTCCAGATATTCTTAGCTTCCTTTGACTTAGTAGAAAAAGAAGTAAATAGCCAATATCACAACCAAATGGTGAAAAAAGGAAATCTTATACCGTTTATACTATACTACGTATGATGCAATCTGGCCCGGCTATGGAATGAGCTCTCTGTTAAGGATTTCCCTAAAAACTACAGTATGGAGTTTTTCAAAAAAGGTGTAAAGAGGTTCCTTCAGGTATGCTTGTTTGTCACCTCAGTGATATAAAAAAAAAATAGTAGAGTATAAAATGTGAAAAGTTGTCAAGACTTTTAGATGTTACTTATTTTGGCTTAAACAGCTGAAGTAAATTTAATGAAAATTGGTACCTACACAGTTTAACCGTATCTTGGACTAATATATTACAATACTTTTTATCTTAATTAACAAAGCTACGGAATAGGTTAGAGGTATTTTATAAATGTTAAAGTTTGAATGTTTACTATTTAATCACACTTTAATAGCTGGATGAGTTTGAATGAAATTTGGTACACAGGTTTGATATTACTTTATCTTAAATTTTGCAGGCATAGCCGCGGTATATAGCTAATATTTTTTTATAACACTTTATTGTGTGTCTAGTAAACCTTTATATACATATTGTAAATTTAATAAATTGTATTATTGCATGTATTTCGTTGAATTAATACAAACACAAAAGAAAATCCTTCCGAGCAAACTGAAACACTTTCCTGGCAATTCATTTTGAATGCTGGATTTAATAAATGCTTAAGTGTGAAAGTACACTGTTATTTCCCTTTGAGACTGGCCAAAGAGAATACTAGAAGAAAAATAGGACCGCCCCACTGTGGGGCCGCCACCCCACCCGGGGGGCATTGCTTTGAATAAAGAAAAGTTAAAATTTTCTTAAAACCCCCCGTCGCGGGGTGGCTCTATCTATCTTCGTTTAAGTATTGGCAAAAATGACCCCCCCTGGTGCCGTCTCGCTCGCACCTTGGCGATGTCATTGGTTCCTTTTTAAAAGAGTTAAAATGGAGGGTCGGGTGTCAGAATCGATGCTTTTTACCTCTTTCTTATTCATTAACATATTTTCTTGAAGACGACGAGTTCTCGTTTTATAATAAATAGGTGCCATCATTCCGTTTAGAGTACTTAGGTTTAGTTGATAGGTACCTATATAATGAACTATGTACCTACGTATTTAATTCAAAAATTTTAGTTGCAAATACCTAAGTACATACATAAGTACTAAAATATTTATTATATTGAGTTGATAAAATAATCAAGGTGACAGATGATATCAGTCGTATTGTTCATTGCTGAATGCAAGCTTCCTCCTTGGGGGGTTTTGCCAGTAGTTGCCACAGTTGGCAAGTGGGTTGGTAACTGCAGTTAGATTTTGGTGATGCTTGAAGAGCGATGCTGCTGCCCATCTCTCAATCATTAAATTCCCTTAGCCGCCTTTTACGACATCTACGGGAAATAAAGGGGTGGCCTGTTCTATGCCGAAACCACATAGTCGTCAAGGTGATAGTACTAGATAATTGTCTTAATAGATGTTCCAGTATGTACTGATGAATGAGGATGAAGTCAGGTTGCTTGGCTCATCAGTGGTGAATTCAATAGGAATAAACCACGATGTTTTAGGGGGGGATCACGTGAAGTTCGACCTGACAGGATTTAATTTTTTATGCAACTTAGAATGGCAAACAAGCTGACGCCCCACCTAATGGAAAGTGGTAACCGTCGCCTATAGACATGAGCAGTACCATGGACATAACAGAGTATCATTTAAAGTGTTTTTGTGATAATTTCAATAAAACTTAGTTACTATTTCATAGGTACTACTCAAACAGACTAATTATTACTTATTAAGTGGGCAAATGTATAAGTTGGTCATTCGCGTATAGATTATCAAAAGTTATAGTTTGTCAGAATGAATTTTGATTCGTTTTTAACACTCGATACTCTATCTAGAGATATATGATCTAAGTTAATTGCCAAAACCTTCCTTTGGCCAAACAAAATGCGGAAGTGGAAGTTTGAGGAGTTCAATTCGGTAGGTGGCCTCAACTTTCGCTCTCTTAAGTGCTTGTACTCGTAACTTGACCGAGTTACTTAATCATTTAATATTTAGTTTATTATTAATTTTAAATTCGGAATTACACCTAATCTGTTTCAAATATGACCAATATAAATATGGTAATAAAATATGGTATGCTTGAAAATTAGATCGTAAATATCTAGAATTTTAGACAGTTCGTCTGGTTAGAAATGCTTCAGTAGTAGTATTAATTTATACACAATTGGTAAGGCAAAAGAACTAAGCCATACAGCCTAATCTTCAATAGTTAATAATGCTTTAACAGAATCACAACTTTTTTTTTTAATAGCGCCCACAGAGTAATCGCTATGTTATTATGGCGCGCTTTTCAAATTTCTAATTTGTATTAATATTACACCTAATTGGTGATTATTGCTTATAAGCAATTTATATATAAATAGTTATTTTTTTATATTACTATGAGTGCAAACAAGCATACGGTGTGACTGATGGTAAACTGTTACCGTAATACCGTAGTGTTGTAGGCGTCCATGGAAGCCTATGAAACCTTATTACCTCCTTTTTGAATAACCCCATGCTGTAGTCCCGAGGGAAAACCTATAAAAATGTCTTCATAATAAGTTTGTTTAATGGATGATAATGGAATGGTAACTCCGTCTGTGCTATCGGTACTTCGGTATATATCTGCGCTGGCGGGGCACCAGTGAAGGATGATAGGTGAGAATGAAAAGGAAAATAAGTTAACCCATTGTTATGAATTCACTGGGAATTTAGCACGACGGATTCTAGGGGGGACCACATGGAGGTCGATCTGACAGGGTATATTGCTAGCAAGGGGGCTACTAATCTCCATTACTAACAATCCATTTCCTTCCTCTGTTACAATACAAAACAAAAATAGATTTATTGATTTAATGTCTCGATTTGTAATTAATTTCATTTAAAGAGTATTCCTGCGATAATTTCCACAAAACTTGGTTACCCTTTTGTAACAGACCGTTGTTGGAAAATGTTTTTATGGTAGTTATCAAAATGAAACGGATGCTTGCAAGACACTTTTTTAATTAATTTCCAAAACAGCAAAACTAACAACAACTAACAACTCGTGCACACACGTGTCACAGGGCAATCGTTCGGCGCATGCGCGCCGGCATTAATTCAATCAAATGCTAACAGATGGCGCTAGTGGTTACAATTATAACATTTTACGAGGTGCGAGGTGCGTCGCTTACATCCTCCCCCCTAGTGTCGGTGTCGCGACACTCATCAACTCGCGGAAACGGTGCCACTCGTGTCACCGGTCTCTTCATCACGCCCCGGTTGCTTCTCACGTCCACGACCCTCACTCTCCCGTCTTTTCCAGGATATACAGCTTCTATAATTCCTACAGGCCAGCTGTATCTAGGTAAGTTCGGGTCCACTACAAGAACCAAGTCTCCTACACGGACTGAATCTTCATCGTGGTACCACTTTTGACGCGGCAACAGCACAGGTAATATTTCTTTCAGCCATCGCTGCCAGAACATATCACTCAACCTTTGAGCTACTCTCCATTGACGGCGCAGGTAAAGGTCACTGTCGTCGAAGTCACCGAGCACAGGTAAGTTAGACGAGGAACCAAGCAAGAAGTGGTTAGGGGTCAGTGTCTCCTGGCTCCTAGGATCCACCGATACGTGAGTCAGTGGTCTACTATTCACCATATTCTCTACTTCTGCGAGAAAAATAACAAGAACTTCCTCACGAGGCGCTCTTTCTTTCAGCACAACGCGAAGTGTAGACTTCACGCTGCGAATGAGGCGCTCCCAGGCTCCGCCCATATGTGGACTAGCCGGCGGTATGAAATGCCAGTCTACTCCTCTGTGTGCGAGTTCTGATTGGACTATATCGTTGTTCATAATTTCAGCACAGGCTTTCTTTAATTCAGCATCTGCCCCTCTCATGTTGGTGCCGTTATCTGAATAAATGCATTGTGGCCACCCTCGTCGTGCAGCTGCTCTTCTGAGAGCCATGATGAGTGAATCCGTCGTCAGCGAAGGCACTACTTCAATATGTATCGCACGGACTGTCAGACAGGTGAATATCACTCCATAACGTTTAGGTCTCTGTCGTCCTACTGTGACTTCAAGAGGACCGAACAAATCGATGCCACAATGAGTGAAGGGCCTTAGGTGATGGGCTAATCTGGCTTCAGGTAAGTCACCTAATCTAGATGGTTTAGGAGTAACCTTTTTTATACGACACAACAAGCATCTGGAAGCAACGGTACGGACTGTAGGTCGCAAATTAATTATCCAGTATTTTTGTCTTACTTCATTCACCACCATCTCATTCCAGGAGTGAGCAGTACGTTCATGGTAATGCTTCACTATCAATCGTGCAACGTGATTTCGACCATCAAGAATTATAGGGTTTTTTATTTGTATATCTATATTTTTTGCAGCACCTATACGGCCGTCGACACGCTACAATCCTTCTTCATCAATAAAAGGAGTTAAGGTACGTAATCTACTATTTTTATTTATTTCTTTGCTCTGATTAGTATCTTCTATTTCACAGGGAAAGGATTCAGCCTGCGAATACTTCAATAACAACACTTCGGCACGGTCCAGTAATCTACGGTCAATTTTTGTATATATAATACTTTTCTTACATTTTTCAGTAAACAATAGTACAGCTGCAGTACTACGCAGCAAACGCAACCATCTCGAGAACCGACTGGGATCCGGTACAGGTAAGTCTACTCTTTCGTTTATATTACATACAGCATGTACATTTTCTACATCATTGTCACCATTTTTATTTAGATTATCAGGCTCCAATGGCCACTGTTCGCGAGTGGAATACAAAAATCGAGGGCCAATAAACCATTCACATTCATTGTTTAATACATAATTATTCTGTTTAGTAGCTACGTCCGCGATATTCAAATGTGTAGGTACATAATGCCATTCATTCATCTTTGACAGCGAATCAATTTCACCTAGGCGATTCGCAACAAATGTTTTGTAATTTCGTGTGTTATTTCGTATCCAATGTAACACTGTGGACGCATCGGTCCAAAAATATCGCTTGTCTATTTTAAATCTATGTTCGCGCTGTATAGTTTCAGAAAGACGACATCCTAGAAGTGCTGCTTGCAACTCTAGTCTTGGCACGGAAATTGGTTTCACAGGTGCGACACGGCTTTTGCTTGCAACAAAGGATATTAATATGTTTCCGTCGCGCGATACTCTCCTGATATAGGCCACGGCTGCGTAAGCAGCAGGCGAAGCATCGCAGAAGATGTGCAACTCAAGCTGGAACGGATTGGATTCGCATAGCGCGCGCGTCGGTAGGCAATCAGCGGGGACCGCGGTCACGTGACTTGAAGTGGCAAAGTTACGTCCGCTGTCACAGGAATTTGAACCATCGGTCGACGTACGAAAGTACCATCTCGGAACACAAATGCTTTCAATAGTTTGTAACTGAGTTAACCAATTGCAAAATAAATTGTATAAATCATCTGTGATGTTTTCATCCCATTTAATATTGGATTTCCATATTAATTGCATTAATATTTTTGCTTTAATTGTGAATGGAGCGAGCATACCGTGAATATCGAATATAGACATTACTATACTAAGTACTTCTCGTTTAGTAGGCCTGCGCACTAAATTCAAAATATCCTCCGAGATACGTTTCAATGATACGTCAAACGCTAGCGTATCACTAGAGGGATGCCACATTAATCCAAGTGTACGTTCCGGCTGATTCTCAATTTTGAACCTTACGGCTTTATCACCTAAGGCATATTCCGGTATATTTTGCATGACCTCTTCGCAGTTACTTATCCAATTATGTATATGAAAACCTCCATTCTTATGTATATATATGACTTCGTTTATTACTTTTATAGCAATCGCGATATTTTCAAAACTCTCAATGCAATCATCCATGTAGTGACTTTGTAAAATAGTTTTTACAGCTTCCGGCATCGCGGATTCAAATCTAATAGCGTTTTTATTTTTTATATACTGTGCAATAAATGGGGAACAATTCGCGCCAAAAATAAGCGAAGTCATTATATATTCCTTAACTTCATCGCTAGGGTTATCACGCCATAAAAACCGTAGTGCGTGTCGATCCTCTGGTTTAATTTTAATTCGTAGAAACATATCTCTTATGTCTCCCGTTACCGCTACTGGGTTCTCACGAAATCGCATCATAATACCTAATAAAGATTGCAACAAATCTGGGCCTTGCAATAAATAATCGTTTAATGAATAACCTTTGCATGTGGCCGCTGCGTCAAAAACTAATCTTAACTTATTTTTGTTAGGATTGTCTACACCAAAGTGCGGTAGGTACCAAACTCGCTGTGCACTTTGATTACCGGGTACAAGTTCTTGAGCATAATCGTTTACGAGCAAATGGTTTACGCGTTCTCTGTATCGTAGCGCGTACTCATTATTCAAACTCATTTTTCGTTCGACAGACTTCAATCGGTTCAAGGCATTTGGATATGAATCCGGCATTGAGGTTTCGGATTTCCAAGGCAACCCTACCTCCCAATGTTCATTGATGAGATTAGCAGTTTTATCTAATATTGAAATAGCTTTCAAATCGTTCGCATTCTGTCGTGGTATATTCGAAATACCTATTGTTTCTAACGAAAAGAAACGTTTCATTTCATCTTGAAATAAAATATCACTGTAGGTACAATAATGCACTGAATCGACTGACCTTTGTCCCTGAGCGGTGATGGCGGCGACGGACGGGCTGAGCGAAGCGCGCACAGGGCCGCACTCGCGCGCTAACGAGTCACGGACACCAACACTAGGCGACGCACCCTCATACATACCTTCGCACCCACTTACACTACTCGGATCACATTTTATATTATTATACAATAACGAACAAACTGAGGAATTATTTACATCATTTTTACTATAGACAGATCCATGTACACACCAACCTAATTGTGTTTTTGTTACATAAGGCTCATTTTTACTACCATAACATTCGAGCGGTGCAATTAAATGATAATTATCTTGACCTATTAATAACTTAGGTTTTATAGCACTAGAGTACTTAGGTATAAAGTTATTTTCACGCACATGTTTATACTTTTGTACGTTAAGACCGGACACGCTATACACTGGGAGATTAAGTTCTCGCATTTTGCAAACATTTAAATTGAAACGAACACCATCACTATTTGACACACTACACTTCACATTCTCTACTGAATACGTAAGGTGCCCAGCATCCCATGCGCTGTCCACGCGCATAGTTGTAGTCTGCCCCTGGAGTCCGGCGCTGTCTGCAATATCGGCCGCTATCAGTGAAATGGTCGCGGCATCATCGAGTAGAGCGTACGTCTGTACACTCTGTTTCGGGCCGTGCACGGTTATAGGTACCACTTTCAGTAGCACTTTAGGTTTTAATTGTGCATATGTATGTGCGACGGTCTCCACAGGTTTATCTTCCTCTTTTGTCTCATTTGCAGGTGGCGACTTCACGTAGTGCAGTAATTTATGGTGCGACTGCCGGCACCCGTCGACATCACAGTTGTCCGCTCTACACGTTTCACTGTGGTGGCCGGCCGCTAGGCATTTATAGCAAAGTTTGTTTACCTTTACGAAATTCCAGCGGTCGCGGCGCATCGCTCGCTTATAGCGAGTACATTCGTCTAATCGATGCTCACTCTTATTACAGAATTTACAAACATTCACTGGTGTCGAGGTGTTCATCACATGTTCGACTGTTGTATGCACATTGTAATATTTATTCGGTTTTTTATATTCAGTCTCGTGTCTTCTTTTATTTTCAGAATGACTATATATGTTGCTCACACCGGCGGTTGCCGTTTTGGTCGCCTCGATGTGTAAAAACTCGGCAAATAATTCCAATTTGGTTCTATTTTCGTATGAATGACTAAATGAATAATCGACCCACTTGGTAATAAGAACACTAGGACACTTAGAGATCACGGTTGTCATTAATTCCGGACTCCGTAGGTAATCGGACTGCTGTATCGCCTGCACTGCTGCTACATAGTTTCTCACTTTGGTGGAGAAGGTCACTATTTCATTGTGGTATGCAGGTGGTAGCGGTGCTATCTTTTTTAATTGGTTGACTATCTTTGTTATTATTACTTCTGGTCTTCCAAACTGAAGTGCCAAGGTCTCGATGATCACATCAGGTGAGGTGTTGCCGATGAGCATAGAGGACACGGCATCCTTCGCTTCTCCGCGAAGACACTTTCTCAAACGCCACAGATTCTCCGTGTTAGTGTAGTTACATAACTCTGTGGATTCTTGGTACGATTTATGGAACTGGAGCCACTCCAAAGGATCGCCGTAATACTGAGGTAAGTCTTTTGAAGTACTCAATCGGGACAGAAGTTGCCGGTTGCTCGTGTGGACTCCAGTGGTGATAGCGTCTCTGAGAGCGCAGGTCAACTGCTGGATGTCGGTTGGCGCGGCCACTGCCGGCACCTCCGTTAGCGACCCACCACAGTGCGGGCGCTCAGGTGCATCCAGATTACTGCGATCTAACCATTGTTCTATCTTGGTGTTGGAGTTCACCGACGAGTGTTGGCTTCTGGTACTTCTGCAACTTTCTACTTCCAAGGCGGCGATGTCAGCGGCCAGTTTCTTTTCAATGAGCTGCTTTTCAATTTCAGCTTTAGCTCGAGCTGCTTCCCATTCCAGCTGCTTTTTACGCGCCAACGTGGAGCTGCTGGAATGTTTACTGTGGGAAATCATCGTGTCTGCATCCGTTTTAACACGTCGTACAACTTTTTCCCTTTGTTCACGCGACTTCAAAATGGCGCTCCGCGTTTGCATTTTGCGCGGAGTTCGCGTCGTAACGAACATTTTCTAACTTGCTTGTTCTTCAAAGGATCCGGCTCGAAGGACCAGCGAATGTAACAGACCGTTGTTGGAAAATGTTTTTATGGTAGTTATCAAAATGAAACGGATGCTTGCAAGACACTTTTTTAATTAATTTCCAAAACAGCAAAACTAACAACAACTAACAACTCGTGCACACACGTGTCACAGGGCAATCGTTCGGCGCATGCGCGCCGGCATTAATTCAATCAAATGCTAACAGATGGCGCTAGTGGTTACAATTATAACATTTTACGAGGTGCGAGGTGCGTCGCTTACACCTTTCATTAACTTCTATTGAAACAGGACTATACAAGGTGAAATCGGAAACGTTGGAAAGAAGTAAAATTGTCACTAAAGAAATATGGGTCGAAGGGGGGATAGGGGTTGTTAGTAATCGAGTTTGACAGCCTCATTGCTAACAGTATGCCCTATTAGGTCGACCTCCGCGTAGTTACCCCTGGAAATCATTGTGAACAATTCTTGTTGAATTCGTCACGATGGGCTAACTGACCTGCTTCATCCTCGTGAATTTACTGGGTACAGAGGAATAACACCTGAGTCCTCAGGAAAGGCAACGCATGGGGGGTATCGTGGGCGAAACAGTATACTTTGTTATGTCCATGGTACTGCTCATGTCTATAGCCGACGGTTACCACTTCCCATCAGTTGGGCCGTCAGCTTGTTTGCCATTCTAAGTTGCATAAAAAAAAATTCTCACCTATCATCCTTCACTGGTACGCCGCCGGTGTATACCGATGGCGCGGGTTGGGTTACCAGAGGGAGATTTTGTACAAAAGTCGATTGCTTGGGTACCTCTGTCCCATTCATGTTTCAACCGTGAAGCAGTTGTGTTTGCACGGCTGTGTTTCGGTTTGAAGGGTGGGATATGGCGTGAATTTACTGGGTACAGAGGAATAACACCTGAGTCCTCAGGAAAGGCAACGCATGGGGGGTATTATGGGCGAAACAGTATACTCTGTTATATCCATGATACTGCTCATGTCTATAGGCGACGGTTACCACTATCCATCAGGTGGGCCGTCAGCTCGTTTGCCATTCTCAGTTGTATAAAAAAAAAACCATTCCATTATCACCCATTAAAAAATATGGGTCGAAAGACAAAAATATTGAGTCGCTCATACGATAGATAATATAATAATATACCTACTATGTAGTCACTAATGCAGTGCGTTTAGCTGTCGAGTTTTTTTTTATTAATGGATGATAATGGAATGGTAACCCCGCCTGCGCTAACGGTATACGCTGGCGGGGCACCAGTGACGGATGATAGGTGAGGATGAAAAGGCGGGTCAGTTAGCCCATCGTGCTGAATTCCAAGTGTATTTCCAGGGGAGACCACGGGGAGGTCGACCTGTTAGGGTATATTATTAGCAATGGAACTGATAATCCGCATTACTAACAATCCCTTCTCCCCCTTATAGCTGTCGAGTTAGGTACAGTAGCAGATGTCTGAAATAAACTTTGCAATAATTAAATTTGTCGCAGGACCTACTTTTTGGGAGAGCGGTGTTTTCAAAAATGATAAAATGTTAAAGTTAAAGCTGCCCACCGCTGAACATAAGCCTTGCCCTTGGGGAGTTTACCCAGTTGTTGCCACGCTTGGCAGGCGGATTGGCAACCGCAGTTAGGCTTTGGAGATGTTTTAAGAGGAACATTGCACGCACAAGGCACGGCCCTCACCCTCCCTTGGTCGATTCGATTTCACCTGTAGATAATACGCTCCAGTATACAGCCTCATGTATACAATCAAATGAGCGGGTCACTTGATTGTTAGAGGAGACAGCACGCGTCGTCAACAGGTGGAACATAATAAGTACGGTCAGCATAAAAAAAAAATATTGTTAGGGAAGCAAATGAGTAGATGGTCCACCTGATGGTAAGCGGCTACCGTCGTCCAATAACGCCTGCAACACGAGAGGAGTTGCTTGTGCTTTGCCGACCTTTTAAATATTTGTAGGCACGTTTGATTAATTATTATTCATGTTCTTAGTAGTTTTTGCTATATAATAGATACAAGTATGGGTACTTACTTTTTATGTACAAGCCTGTAATCTTTTTTTTTATACAACTTAGAATGGCAAACAAGCTGACGGCCCACCTAATGGAAAGTGATAACCGTCGCCTATAGACATGAGCAGTACCATGGACATAACAGAGTATACTATTTCGCCCGTGATACTCCCCATGCGTTGCCATTCCTGAGGACTCAAGTGTTATTCCTCTGTACCCAATAAATTCACGCCATATCCCACCCTTCAAACCGAAACACAGTCATGCAAACACAACTGCTTCACGGTTGAAACACGAATGGGACAGAGGTACCCAAGCAATCGACTTTTGTACAAAGTCTCCCTCTGGTAAAATTTAGATACTTAAGCTGAAATAATAATCATTTATAAAAAAAATTACACATCATATTTTGTAATAGATGATAATAGAATGATAACTATACTGCCCTATTTAGGTCATCAGCTTGTTTGTTAAATTCGAGTCAGTAAAAGTTCTCAGCACATAATAATATAATCAAGGGATTTAATCGTGTGATAAGATTCTTCAGAATTTCAGAACAAGCTAGAACGTCTCCTGATTCTCTTTATTCGTTTTATATTTGGATTACGTAAATTTGACCATATTTCTCACTACAAGAAACAGTTAAAATGCCTCCTTTTCAGCTCCGACTTAATCTACATATACTCTCTTTTCTTTATAATATCCTGCATAATCCCATTGCACCAACATATCTTCGTGAGCGGTTTAACTTTCTGTATTCAGCGAAAAGCAATACTAGAACTCTTAATCGTTCTTTATTGTGAACTCCGATTCATTCTGGTCAAGCGTATTCTGACTCTTTTGTTGTGGTTGTAATTAGATTATGGAACACACTTTCTCATGAAATTAGAAATAGCCCAAGCATTGGGATTTTCAAAACACGTCTGAAGAATTATTACCTCTCACAATGCTGATGTACGTACTTATTATATTTATGTATTATAAATATAAATATATATATATATATATATATATATATATATATATATATATATATATATATTTATTTATACCTATCGGTCTTTTCAATTATAAAGATATTTTATTTATTTATTTTAAACTATATAATATTTAAGTCGATTGGTACACATGTATGACTGTAACTACTAATGAACTGTCACTTTTCTCATATTGGGTTTGCTGGAAGAAATCTCTATTGGAGATAAGCTTGTCTTTGTGCACTATTATGTTTGTTTTTACATTTCAATAACCTTTTTGTGTACAATAAAGAATAAAGAATAAAGATTCTATATAAAATAACGTATTTTTACTACTTATAACTACATCACTGTAATATTTTTATAGGAAATGTTAATTTTTATTATTTCAAATTATATATATATATATATATATATATATATATATATATATATATATATATATATATATATATATATATATATATATATATATATAATCAATAATATAATGTATTATATATTACCTAATCAATTTAAGAAGTCTAGATAACTTGTTATTTAATAAATGTTATTTTCGACGAAAAAATATTTAAATAACCAAATAAGTCTATCTATCCTATTTAAGAGTTGTGCTCTTGTCGGTGAAGCTCTTGCCACTCACTACGATTTTCAGCGAGTCTCTTCACCTCTTGATACGACACGACACCAACTCCTTCCTTGATCTGCCTGATGTAACTATGTCTCGGTCTCTCTCTTCCCCTCCTTCTTTCTATCTCACCTTCTATTATAATGTTCATAAGTTCGTCGTGTCATATCAAGTGTCCCAAAATTTTTCCCCTTCTATCCTCAATAGTTCTAATAATTTGTCTTTTTTCCTTAACCCTAAGCAGGACCTTCTCATTGCTAATTCGATCCCTCCAGCAAATTTTGTAGGTGGTGGTCTACCAAATAAATAGATGGTATAAATTTGAAAACACTCTGTTTTTTTTAATGTAATATTTATTGTTGTAATATTTATTTGAGCTGATGTATAAAAATGATAAATGAACTATAATTTTATAAACCGGAAACGGCAGGACATGATTGGGATATTTATTATAATTTAGTAGCCATGTTTAGATAAATAATTGAATTGAATTGTATGTACCTAAAGCATGAATGGTGTTTGATGTATTTTAGAAGATAAGAATGTGTATTTCTTATTGTAAAAAATAATTTATTTTTATAATTTTAAATAATAATAACTAAATATAGTTTTGTAAAAATTATTTTTTATAAATATATTTCATAAAATGTTTTATAAATATTATATATGAATAATTTTGCTGACGGTACAGAGTCTGCCTCACTAAGTTGGCCCGATTTAAGTTGTTCAGTGAGCAAACTTGGGCTATTTTCACTTACACGCCCCCCCCCCCCCCGCGCCCTCGTCTTACTTTCATGTAGAGATGTTTTTATAGTCTATTAGCACTTATTAACAATACAACTTTACCATTATCTTTTTAATCAAATTTTATACAACACTTAGTTAAAAATGTTTACTTACAGTTTAACCAAATGTTAGTCAGTAACGAATGTATCTATTTATTTTCCTACCCTCGCGACCATCTTCGAGCATAAATAATAAATATTAAATAAATTCAGTTATAAGATTTAAATTTTAACAAATTTGTTATGCGTTCACTGCGCGAGTAAATAATTTCGTTTAAAAAGAAAAATCATCAAAATTAAGTAACCAATATCCAATCTAATTAATAAAGATATCATTAATATCATTATCATCGTGTCAGTTTAATACAAAAAAGTATTTTTGTACGCCTATTAGTTTTGTACCCACTAACCATAATACAAGATGTATTGAATCAGAATAAATAAATAAAT